GTGTGTGTGTGTGTGTGTGTGTGTGTGTGTGTGTGTGTGTGTGTGTGTGTGTGTGTGTGTGTGTGTGTAGGAGGGGGTGGGGGGGTTCAACCTTAACCTCCAGGTTCCTGAGAGCAGTCTCTAGACGAAGTTCATTACTTCAAATTGTGTCATTGTTGTTATCGTCACATTTCAGTTTCATCACCTTTACGTGGATGTTCTCTCCGGCTGACTACCGAGGTGGAGTGCTATTGGTTCAGAGACGATGGTGCACGTCCACGGTTACGTTGTGGCTGCTTCTGAAGGTTCTATACACTTTTTCTACGGTGGCAGGTTTACGTACATTAGTCGACTATAACTGCCCACATGATCACATCTCAGCCGCACTTTATGGACGATGCAGGTTCTTTGAATACTTCTTAACAATGTTGGTAGTGACACTTTTTTGCCATGTAAACTATTGATGACCTCATTGCTGCTGGTGCGTTGTGTCTTTACATTTTGTGTCGGCATGTCTGTTTGGCAGTGGTGTATAAAATACTCAAAAGCCATACTTGAGTAAAAGTAAAGATACCTTACTGGAAAATGACTCCAGTAAAAGTCACCTATTAGAATACTACTTGAGTAAAAGTCTTAAAGTATCTGATATTTATTGTACTTAAGTATCAAAAGTAATTTTCTGATATTAAATGTACTGAAGTATTGAAAGTAAAAGTACAAGTAAATACTTTTAATAAAAAAGCAAAGGGTCAGAATTATGAAGTTTATTCTTTTAAGTGCTGTGGCCACCATGACCAAGGACATGGAGCTGTGTTGAAAATAATTGGGTTGGCTGTGATCCATCCAGGAGCAACAATGTTCAACATAATATATTGTACATAAGTATACTTTTGCATCTACTATGAACTTATTATCATACTTCTCCGTAAAGCAATATGACGCTATGAAGGAGTTGTAACAGTGCGTTTATAAGTATGCTCATTCCGACTATAGGATGTAGAGGGCAAATGCATAATATTGTGTTCAGCAAAAAATATCCACTTGATGCATCAGGTCAGTGTTTTGAGAAAGGACACCTGCCTTGTAAACTCCTATGGGCCTGATTTGAACACAATAGGCAAAGGTGAATCTGCAAATGGCGACTGCTACCATCATAACTCCATCTGATCATCCACAAAATGACTCAAGTATCAAAACATGATCAATACTAAAGCAGCAACCCAGTCATTACTTGAAACTGAAAAATGTCCTGTTCATCTTCAAAAGAAGTTGGTTTTCAAAATTGCGAGAATTCAGTCTCGCTCTTCTTGGGCTGAAGACTAGTCCTGCCATGCTAAATAGCCTTTCACAGGCCGCTGAGGCAGGTAGAGGTGTGTTCAGCTTCACAGACAGCTTGCGCACAGCTGGGAAGGATTTCCCTAATGCTAACACTAATGCTGCGCTCTCGCGGCTCCTGTCAATCCTATGGTGTGGTGGCTAGCTAACGTTAGCCAACTAGTGCTGCACAACTGTCAACACTTCCTCAGCTCACTAACTCGCTAGCGATCCACGGGTGTTGGTCTTCGTCACCACCGTCGTTTGTTGCGGGAGTAGCAGGTGCTTCCATTTCTGCTTCCATCATGAAATCAGTCATCGTAGAGTGGAATTATACTAATGTAGTCGCTCGCTAGCTATAGCATATAGCATCCTGGGCATCACTGGGAATCAAAACACCGCGGCTTTGAGAGCACTTGTTTTGCGCATTAACGTGATTAACCAATGATTTAACTTGCAAGCTAGGACCACTGATTCACCAAACCTGCTTGCTTGCAGTCTCTGTTCCACCACAGTCCCTGACGTTGGTCTCATGATTCATTTTTTTTCTAAAGATAGATTTGATTTTGTAGTGAGTAACGAAGGTTTCAGGGGAAATGTATCGGAGTGAAAGTATCAGTTTTCTTTGCAAAATGTAGTGAAGTAAAAGTAAAAGTCAACAGAAATATAAATAGTAAAGTAAAGTACAGATATCCAAAAAAACAACTTAAGTACAGTAACGAAGTATTTCTACTTCGTTACTATACACCACTGCTGTTTGGTAACTGTGCACAGGGAGTGTAAGAGGGAATGATGGCAGGAAATAAAAGTGTATGTACAGGAGACTATCTGCTCAGTACTAATATTTTTTTGTAACGTCTCTGTGTGTGTTTACTGTTTTCCTGCAGACGTCCAGCAGCTGTTGGTGGTTCAAGGAGAGGTTCCCCCTGAGCAGCAGGAGTCCAGTCTGGACCAGGAGGACCCAGAGCCCCCACACATTAAAGAGGAACAGGAGGACCCAGAGCCCCCACACATTAAAGAAGAACAGGAGGACCCAGAGCCCCCACACATTAAAGATACTGATGAGAAGACAGGAGACTCTTCTGACAGTGATGATTGGAAGGAGACCAGAGAACCTCAGTCAGGTTTAAACTCTGTGAAACCTGATGAAGTCCATGTCAGTGATTCAAGACGTAGTGCTGGTGGGAAACTATTTACATGCTCTGAGTGTGGGAAAACAACTGGCAGGAAATCAGATCTGAAGAGACGCATGAGAACCCACACAGGAGAGAAACCTTACAGCTGCTCAGTCTGTAAGAACTCTTTTAGCGACCACACACATTTACAGAGACGCATGAGAACCCACACAGGAGAGAAACCTTACAGCTGCTCAGTCTGTAAGAACTCTTTTAGCCGGCACTCATCTTTACAGACACACATGAGAACACACACAGGAGAGAAACCTTACAGCTGCTCAGTCTGTAAGAACTCTTTTAGCCAGAGTTCACATTTACACGTACACATGAGAACCCACACAGGAGAGAAACCTTACAGCTGCTCAGTCTGTAAGAACTCTTTTGGCCAGAGTTCACATTTACACGTACACATGAGAACCCACACAGGAGAGAAACCTTACAGCTGCTCAGTCTGTAAGAACTCTTTTAGCCGGCACTCATCTTTACAGACACACATGAAAACACACACAGGAGAGAAACCTTACAGCTGCTCAGTCTGTAAGAACTCTTTTAGCCAGAGTTCACATTTACACGTACACATGAGAACCCACAAAGGAGAGAAACCTTACAGCTGCTCAGTCTGTAAGAACTCTTTTAGCCGGCACTCATCTTTACAGACACACATGAGAACCCACACAGGAGAAAAACCTAACAGCTGCTCAGTGTGTGATGGAAGATTTCGGAGCAAGTCAGCTCTGAAGCGCCACATAATTGCTCATACAAGAGACAACCTTTAGTGCTTCTGTTTGTATACGAAAGGTAATTCTGACACACCACACAACGCAGGGGAGTAAGAACAATTTTGTATAATTTCCACAATAACCACAAGTTCTAAACATTCTTTCATTGTTTGAGCCATCACATGTATAATTCATAAACATCCATTTCATTGTGTTACGTACTGTAGGAGGAGCTACAGTGTGTTTTTATTGAACAATGTGGGTTTTTCATTGTTGCAGGTTTTTTTTTTTTTTATTAATGTCATTTTGTGGCAAATATTCTATTGTGTTCTTATCATTGAAGATCATTGGTGCATTTCCTGTAAGGTCCACTAATGAATGGACTGCATTCATACAAATGTGCATTTCATCTTTCTCTGTTCAAAAGGTAATTCTGACACCACATGGCACATAACGCAGGGGAAGAAATATGGTGCTTTTTTCCTATTGCTTTAACTTGAGAGCATTGATTATTGATTCCACGTTCAGATTTTGAATCGTTTCCTCTTGCTTCTTTACAGAGCGTTTAGTGTCTTTTAGGGTTTAGCTTCTTTTTTTTTGCCGCACAACTGGACTGTTTTAGTTAATTCTCACTGCTCTTATCAGCCATGTTTGTAGCTGACTATGACTATTGACTTACATTCATTAAATGTCCAGAAACACAAGTCTAAGTAAATGCTTGTGTTGTTCTGTATCTGCGTGTTCTGCAAATAAGGACCATATCAACTGTAAAATAAGACAATATGTTGTGCTGCATCTCTTTGTAGTCATTTTGAGGCTCTCTGTGATCATTTTGTTTCTCTTTGTACTTGTTTTAGTCTCTTTGTAGTTTTTTGTGTCTCTTTGTAGTAATATTGTGTCTCTTTGTGGATGTGTTGCCCCTTTTTGTTCTAGTTTTGTGTTTCCTTCTCGGCACGTTGAGTCTCTTTAAATGACATTTTGTCGGTGAAGGCCAGAGGGTTCCCCTGACACTGACAGCCCCTGAGCTTGTACATAATTGACGCATTCTTTGATGCGTCCATGATTGTAGCTTTGACAAATGTATGAACAAAAATAAAAAACAAATGTGTGGCCATATGTGCAGAGAAGCAGCTGTCAATGAGGAGCCATGTAGGTGTGACATGCAGGATGTTCATGCTATTCCCCCAGATCTTCCAACCAATTAGACTCTAGTGCAGGCGTGGGCAAACTACGGCCCGCGGGCCATATACGGACTGTTGGGCTTTTCAATCCGGCCCATCGAATATTGGCACAAAGTTGTCAAAATTAGAGTAAAGGCCGCATTCATTTTACCTTTTTCCTGCAATATTTCTATCCAAAGAGCTATTTTGTCCTATTTTTCACCAAATAAAATTCATCTGGAGCCGCAAAAGCTATTTGAAATCACAGCTTATAAAGTTTTATATATATTTATATTATATTTACAAAAACTATAGTTTGTTGTATTTATGAAAATATAGAACAAGAATAAAGACAACTCTTGACATTTTATTGCTATTTTACCTGTCAGAACAATATCAAACTCTTATGAAGAGGAGAGCTTGCTGCAGCAGTTGAGAAATCGCTCTTTTTCGCTCATCTCCAGCGTGACACTTTTCAGCAAATGCTGTGTGCTTGTTCTGGGAGCATTTCGCTAAAAGGGAACTCAATAAAGTATCTTACAGTAGCTTAAAGGCTATAACATGTTTTACCTCAGACAGACTGCCAGTCGCTGCTCTGGCTCAATAGGATGCTGGTAGTTGGTCCTTTGCCTGCGTGAATCTGTTCAAACCTTTTAATTAAAAAGTGCTGCAACAGTCGCAAATACGCATCTCTGCTGGTGTTAATAGTTTCGTTCCAAACTATTCGCAGGCTCCTGTTGCGTAAAGTCCATAATAGTGTACAGCCTGTTGGGTATTTAAACACAGCAGAGCTTTGAGCTAAATGCTAACATTAGCATGATTACATGCTCACAATGACAATGCTAAGATGGTGAACTTTAGCAGGTATAATGTCTGTTTTTAATGACATTTGTTTTGCAGATGTTTGCTTGTAAACCAAACATTTAGACAAAGTGGAAATTTGACCTGAAGATGGTGCTCGAGGAAAAGTCAAGAGATTGCCAAAGTAGGGCGGCTACACGTCTTTACGTTTTATTCCTAATTTCCCAATGACCTCGTGGGGGCCGCACGGCAACAGCTCGCGGGCCGGATGTGGCCCGCGGGCCGTACAATGCCCAGGTCTGCACTAACAGCTACAGCCGGAGCCTCAAGACTCGCCTCACCTAATGTTGGCTAAGCCCTTCGTTCCAATGAAGGGAAATCTTAAGGCTTCAGCACACAATCACATTTCAGACAATAGCGTGCTTTCAACTTTGTGGCAGTAGTTTAGTGAAGATCCTTTCCTGCTTCAGCCTGACAATGGCGCAAAGCCAGATGGATAAAGAACTTGTTTTCCCAGTTTATTGTGGAAGGAGTTGACTGGCCTGCACAGAGCCCTGACCTCAAACCCATCCAAGAATTTCGGGATGAACCTGGAATGCAGACTGAGTAAATCCCTGAAACCAGGATCCAATATCTTGTGAAAATCCTTCCCCCGAAGCACTGAGATTGTTTTACAGCGGCGTGTTTTTCAAATGACATGTTCAACAATCAGATACTGTATTTGCAACAAGTGTTCACATACTTTTGGTATATTATCATCAGCAATCTTTCTGAAAACACATATTAATTCTCAATGGGAGGTTAAAGAAAATGAAAAGAAAATGTTTGTGCGTTGTATGCTGAATTTCATGAAACATGTCTTTAAGACCCCATGTGGACGTGGTGTGATGGTGCTTCACCGTTTAAAGAGAGGTCTGAATACACAAATGATCTAAATCTGCAGAGTCAAAACATTTTGCAACCGTCTCAAATATTTCTCCTGGCTTCAGCTTTAAACATAAAAAATAGAAAAAATGTATATCATTTTAATTCTGGACACGTTCATTTCAGTCTCATTGCAGAAGGGAATGGATTTGAGAGGTAGAGGAGACCAGAATGTAGCATGCTGGATACGGGACACCAGGCTATGACGTAATTGATGTTAGAGGGAGCGATTTCATCCACATTTGTGATCCATCTGTCGGACGAGCTTTCTCTGAGTCTGTAATTTTCTTCCTTTCCACAGTTGTCTTTTACACAGTCCATCCTCTACCGTCCTCTCACTTTTGGTTATCAGCATGTTAATGAGGTGACCTGGACACTTTCAGATAAGGAGATGACTTCCGCCCTGGTTATGTCTAGAAAGACTAACTGCAGCTGTAAGGGGTTTTTCTTCAGGAAACATGAGGATCTGAATCAGTTTTTATCAGATGTTTGAGAAAAAATGACTCCTGTGCAAATTCAAACCGTACAAATTGTTTTGTCCAGTGAACAGAGGGAAGATTGAGTTCAAAGGATTGTGTTCATTAGTTTTTGCTTTTATTCTGACCCAACGAATTTCCGTCACTCATCTGTTTGCTATCCTGGCTGTCTGTGTTCGTGTATGCAACAAGAAAAAGCTCCAATAAATAACTGAAAGGTTCCAGAATGTGTCCTATGCAGTGCATGCCGAGGTTATTGTTTGCATGACACATTTATGACATGTTATCCTCAGTATGTGATTGGCTGCCAGAGGGCTCAGCAGGCTACATCCCCTCTGGCCCTCCGCCCTTCCTCTGGGAGCACCCGGGACCACCGCCTCATGTTCTCTGATGTGAGGAAATCTATTTTTGCAGAAGAAATCTATAATCTATCCACGACATTGTAAGTGTATACAACACTGTTGTAAAACTCAGCTCAATATGATGAAACATTATTTCATCCTGCTTTTTCATTTAATTCTGGTGTTTTGTTTTATTTCACACCGCAATTTTCCTTGATGACCACTTTATTTATTTATTACGTAATGTACAAATTACTTACAAATAATGGTAGAATTGCTTACAAGGACTCCATTGATGTAGAAACTAATTATTTACAGGTCATTTACAAATGATGTGTTGATGAATAGCACACGGATAATGATTAGCTTATCATTAATTGAAGATTATAAAAGTGAAATTGTTTGAATAACTGTAAAATCAGTGGTGGCCTAAACGTTAAAGAAACAGGCATACGACCAGATTGTCGCCAGTTTGATTCCTGGACCAGCAGGAGAAATCTGGGAGGGTAAAGTCAAAGAGCGGCACTGATTCAATACCCAGAGCAAGGCCTTTAATACCAAACTGCTCCAGATTATACTGTGTAACATGTGAATGTGCACGGGGTGTTTCCAGAAAAAATAAAGCAGTGCTCTCAGTGAAACTTCCCTAGATAAATAACAAGAATAGAGTGATGCGTAGGCCACACACCATCCTGCTGAAGAGTGCCACCTGCAGCTGAAACATTAGAAAGCTGCAGTGTGCATTTTGAGAGGCTATGGCTTTTCTGCGTGATAAGAGACAATTCTGTAATGGGCAGCGATGAAACATTAATGTGCATTAATTCCAGTAATGGGTTCAGTCTGTGCTCACTGCGTGCTATAGATTCAACAACAAGACACGTACAGTACATCTTCATCCATGTATGCAAAGAGGGCCACAAATTATTGATGTCGTCTCCGGAAATAGACCAGCAGTGAATTGGACTCGGAGCACGAAATATAGGTTGCGTGACGTGACCTCAGACACGTTCTGATGACCTGATTCTGTGTGTTGCGCTCTACATATTGGAGCTTTCTGATTGGCTCAGTCAAAAGTTCACAGCATGTATTTAACACAATTTGTGCAGAGAAGTTTGTGTGCAGATCAAAAACATGCGGCTGCAAAGATATAGCGATTACAGATTGGATGCCATGGTTACTATACTCCACACCATCGCCATCCTCCTTCACACATTGTTGTCAGGGTAACGACTGCTTCGGCGGAAGGGCGCACGTGACTTAGGTGAGAATGCGTTACAGGGACTCAATGATATGTAGAGACAGGCCCTATTGATCTGGTCTAGCAGGCATTGAGTGACACTAAAACGTGCCGGGATTATGATGCCAGGAGCCCCGTAACCCCCCGCTTCACACTTGACATTGTACATCAACTATGATTAGTTACTTTATTTCCTGTCAGGCGTGTCAGCCTAACAAGACCAACAGGCCTGGAATATAAAGGGTTTGTGTGACTTTTACAAAAAAGGGATAACCTTGCTGCATAAATTTGCATTTTCATTTGGAAATATCTGATTTGATATTGAAACTGTTCCAATGTTAATACTTCAAAATTCAGTTAAGATGATTGAGATTAGTGCTGTTTGTGCTAGATAAGAACAAACACATTTCACCCATGAAATAAAAAAATATATGTGGGAATGTAAAAGCTGTTAGGTCTGTCTTTTATAACATTTAAAGTTGAAGAAACACCAAACGTGCAAAGAGTGTCAGTTTAAGATCATGACTGTCTGGACAACTCAAGGAAAGGCTATGCTACTGCTATCTAGAGAAGTATTTACACAACAACCACACAATAAAGATGTTTGTTTCCCAAGTTGCGACTCTTTAGTTGAGCCAATTAAAAAATGGTAGCCTGACATTACGTTACACCATACTCAACTTGTAGTTCATTCATCTATATTCATTTCATTTTCAATCATTTCATCGTTTCAAGTGTTTAAAGGCTATTCCCCCACTAACTTTATTGGAACATGTGTATCACATACAGGTGACATAGGACCAAGACATCCACAGGGCTTTTTCTCAGCAAACATGTTGCATGAAACCTTTTCATGTTTTACTAGGAAACGCACGTGTTTCTAATTAGATGTTCTACTCAAGTGTTACAGTAAGCTACAATGGTCTCTGTGAAAAAGGCCTACGTTATACATATGATGGCAAATTAAGCAATACAATGTCAATAAAAAGATATTGTTAAAATAAAAAAGCAACGTACACATTTCTTATTATTGATAAACTGAATGTCATTTCAGAAATGAATCAATGAAAACTCAAATAATTCGTTTCTCTGCATGGAAAGAACAAGGACGTCACTTTGGGCTTTGATTAGCTGGACTGAATGCAGGTGTTGCTCTTACCACTGGTCACTTTATTTTTCAATTGTGAGCTGACAGCGTTGGTTGTTGACTAATAGATGTAAAAAAAAAAAAAAAGATGACGGGGCACAAACTATGTCTAGGGGGGGATACCACTTTCTCAATTTGTCCAGCTCCTTCAGGGGTTTTATTTATTCAGGAGCATATGGACAAGACCAGGAACTCCCACAGGCAAGATAACAGCGACACCATCGACGCACCGTGGCAACACAACAGCTGACGGTGTTGCAGCAGACACACAGCAGCACGATGCGGCTGACCCGGTAGGTGAGATGAGGCTTCGTGGCCGTAAAGAACCGTTTGTGTCTGCACCACCAGCATCAGTCGTGCTTTGTAAAGGCGCTTTGTGCATCGCTAATCCGCTCTGATGTCACGGTGCAGAAGGAGGGGCTGAGCACTCCGCTTTAATCCGAGCAAGTAGTCTGGAGGGACAAACCGAGTCGAGCCAGGCACGAGATATACAGGGGCGATGTGTACTGCAGCAGCCGGACACGGGCCTCTCCTCCTCTGACATGCAGGTACGTGTTTGGAAACCGGGGTTGTTGTGGAGCTGCAGGGCGGAATGAGAATAAGATCAGGTTTGTTTTTGCTGATGGCGGATCCGACACCTGCGGACATGTATTCTGGACCGTCCAGAAGGGAGAGAGGGAGGCATTTAGACAGGTGACAGTTTGCTGCACTTCTTTTTCAAATAGATGTCAGGCGTCAAAGGCATATCTGATGATCGTGTATGTATTGCACCCAATAAGCGCATTTCAAAGAGGCGGAGGCTGATCACTAACCGATAACGAGTACCAATCCCAGAAAGAAGGATTTTGCCTTTTTATAATAATAAAATCGTCCAAGGCCGTGGGAGGGGAATTAAGAAGCCAGTAAGCCTTCAAAATAAAAGCACTTGCCAATTTGGCACTTGTTAATGGATTAATCTTCTCCTTCTGGAGCAATGGCATAGTCCACATGTAAACACAATGTAAGTAATGCGACTGTCGATGCATCCCAACATGGACCATATGTTTGCTCAGTGTGAGAGAGAGAGAGAGAGAGAGAGAGAGAGAGAGAGAGAGAGAGAGAGAATGAATCATGCTGTCAAGAATAGAAAGATAAGGAGAGTCCTCCAAAGTGAGGACAGTTGCAGCTCATGATGATTAATCTCATTATTGGCCAATCTGCCAGTCATTTTATAGATCTGTCATTTTTAAATGTCAGGAAATGGAAAAATGCCAATCACAACATGCAGAGTACATGGATTCCTATTTCAATTACATGTTTTTTTTTTTACCCAAAGATCACTTCACTCTTGCAGCATTCAAAGAAAAGCAGCAAATCCTTATAATTGAGAAGCCAGGACGAGGTAGTGTTTGCCACTTTTGCTTGAAACATGTAAATCTTTATCATCAAAATTGTTGTTTAAATGGTTGAGTAATTGATTAGTCATGCAATCATCTTATTTTTCCACCACTTGTTAGGATTTTTAGGATGGAGTAAGGGCTAAATGTTAAGGTTAGAGCACTATGAGGGCCTGGGTTAAGGGCAACATTTAAACTCAATTATGTGATATGAGGCTAGGTACCATGTGCGTAAAGCATTTGGTCATTCATTTTATGAATGAAACCCTTAATGTTGCCTTTTCATGATCACTGCACCACCCAGTCTGCTAATATCAATTTTGAGATATGATATTGTAAAGCAATTGGTTTTACACCAAGGCATATAACAATACATGAAAGCACATAGACATATAGGCTTCAGTGGGGGAAATGAGACGCATCCTGAATACAAGTGGGCTAGAAGTCCCACAACAGTAGTCACTGGTGTCAGACTCATTTCCACAGCACCAATAACCTCGAAAAAGATTTCACGTCACCAGATGATTTTACATTTGTACTGCTCTTGGTTGTTTTTGTCAAAGTGCTATTCTAAACACTGCGTTGTATTTTGCTCTTGTGTTTACAGGGACTGCAGGTGTAAATTAGTGAAAAGCTCAGGTGCAGTTTTTAAATTTGACATGGTCCTGGAGCCATAAGAGTTAACGGATTCATGTTTTGTAGTTTCCTGAGCTTGTTCGATTGTTGCGGGAGAGTGAAATGAACAGTGACTGCCCCAAAATAATACTAAACATATTATTGACATCGCCTAGAGCTCTGGGACAAAGTGATGGTCATTCTTCACAATTCTCTGACATTTTAATAGATTAAACAATCCCATATGATCTGTTAATTAATAAAATAATTGGTTACAGGTAGACCGATAATCTTTAGTTGCATCTGAAATGCAGTCAAAATATTGCAGTGATATTTGCTTTACATTGTCATTAAGCTCTAATTGTATGCTTACAGTGGAGAAAGGTAAAGAAGGCTAATGAATAGATGTAATTAGTCCTTGTGTACAGACGTAATAGCGCACGTGTGTTCTTGTCAGTGTGTGTGTGCTTGTCGGTCCGGGGAAGATCAGCGAGTTAATGGGCTAGTAAATCCCATCCAAGTGAGTAAGCTTTCACTGCAGCCTGACAGATGGAAGTGCAGTGCTCCTCTCTACAGGCCTATACGTTTCACTGCCGCGCTGCCAGGGCCATCTGTGACCCCCCCCCCCCCCTTCTCAGAGTCACCCAACCATTGCCAGAAAGGCACATCAGCCACCCTGGGAGTCCGCCCTCGCTCCTGCTGTGTCCCTTCATGTTCCCTCTCTAGAATTTGTGGTTTGTGCTCAGATTACAGGATCCACATTAACCTTTGCCCTCTGTGTCTTCTCTCTGTCCAGAATTCATCTATCTGCACATATAAGATGACAACCACCTCAGTAAACCTTCTGCTGCCTCTTAATCCAATATGACATCTGTTGATTCACAAATGTAGACATCTCATGTATACAGTCACACATTTATGGATTCTTCTGATCATTGAGGTCAGATAACATAACTTACGAAAGCAGCTTTAGTGAGACATATGGAGTAGCAATAATGAGAAATGCTTTTGAGCCGTCATATAAGCCTGCATAAACACGCTTTAGCCTTTTTCTCTCTTTAAATCAGACTGTCCAGTGGTCCCCATTGGTGACCTTCTCTGGACCCGGTTTATTATTCCTGAAGCATCTCGAAGGATTGCGTTCCGGTGTCCTTTCCTAGCGCGTTGACCTCAGATGGGTGAAGCCTGTGATAACTGATGGGTACCCTGATATCCTCGTCATATTAAATAAGTATCAAAACTGGGCTTCTCACTCACAGAGAGCATTTAGTATTCAGATGGCTGCCCTATCCATCTCTCTCTGTCAGGTCTTATCTGATACCAGAGGGATGTCCCTCCTTGTACTAATGCCCTGCCTCCTCCTCCTCCTCCTTTTCATCATTTTCTTTCTTCCTGTCCTGTGCCATCTGCCAGCTGCTGGTGGACGAATGAATGTGGTGCAGATTAAAGTGCACTGCACACCCAGATGAATCCCAGAGGATTTAGGTTTTTACTATTAGCAATATGGAGACAGGGAGTCCCCGGCCTGATAGCCAACGTCACTGTAATATTTCCTTTCTGTGTGTGTGTGTGTGTGTGCGTGTGTGTGTAGTCTCTGTGTGGAGATATGCTAGGGTGGGGGGGTGATTTAGCTTTAGTATCCAACCAGTGTCAATATTAACTTGGTACCCCCCCCCCCCTTCATTCGATACACATCATGTGAATGGAAGCATTCAGTTGCGTTTAAACAGCCATCACCACCATATTTATTCTTATCAGACACTACAGGTGTGCAGTGCAGCCATACTTTCAAACATTTTGGTGGCATCTTGGCATGCTGAACTGCAAACTCCATCAAATATACCGCGCTCAACTTCACCACACTGCAGGTGGTTTGGTTGTAGTTGCTGGGGTAGTTGGTTGATCACACGTATGCGGTGATTGGCTGTTAGCGAAACCACACAAATAGTCTAGATCTGGGTACAAAAAGGATGGAACGCAGGTGTTGTTTAGATACTACTTGGGTCTTGGTTACTTTGGTTAGTATTTGCCTTTAGTATTGGAAGATAGTATTAATGTTCAATATCCAGCACTTATTTATAAGGTTTCTGTTTTACTCTTAAACCTTTTCTTGGACCTCATATGCGTGTAAATTAAGACATTGTTTGTTCATATCCTGTCTCCATCTCTCCCAGGCTGTGCTATGAGCGGGGTTTTCTTGGAGACAAGCGGAGCATGTTCTGAAAATTGGAGTCGGATCACACCCCAGCCATGAGCCACAAGTATCAGGGAGAGGCATCCAGGGAAGCAGGCGAGGAGCACAAGGGGCCTCCGAGGAGCAGGCAGCCCAACGGGACGTCACCAGGGGAACCTCCTGTACGTCGGTCCTGGAGGCCATGTCAGATGGGCAACCAGGATGGGGAACTGAATCCCCATCATCATCACCATCATCACCAGCCTCCTCACCAACACCACCTACCCACAAGTCGTGGACCCCCTCGGCATCGCCGGCGGCTTCCATCAGGGCAGGGCCAAAGCCAGGCTCAGAGTCCCGGTCTGGTGCCGGTGGTGGCTGCTTCTAGGCCAGACGGAGACGGGAGTCGAGACACTGAGCCTCTTCCTGTTCAGCAACCCCGCCCCGCTGTCACCCGTTACCGCCGTCATGGAGACCCAAACCCCAGGCTCAGAGGTCACAAACAAAGGCAACCTATCGGAGAGACGCAGGACTCTTCACCTGGTGTGGATGAGCGGCAGGGTACAGCAGAGGTGCAGGTACAGCAACGCACATCAGATAATCCCGTAACCGACCAATTGCAGGACAGGGGATCTCCTCAACAGAGTCCTGTTGCAGTTGTCACCCCCACCCAACTCTCACCTGGTCCTGCAACCCATAAAATGCAACATCAACCCCAACACACTCCTCCTGCTATGGCAGAAGAGGACCTCCAGGAGCCTAAAGTGGAGTGTGAAGGGGAATTGGAGGAAGCTAAGGAGAAGTATGAAGATCAAGAACAGGCGGAGGATGATGGAGACCACCGCTCAACCACAGGTTGCAGCCATAACGACTTGCAGACAGTCGATGACGGAGCAGAGGAACGTGCAGAGAGGGTGGAGGAGGTTCAGGAAGAAGTGATGGATGATGTAGCGGAGGACATTGCAGCTCAGGGAAGTGAAATCACTGATCTCTGTTCCGACACGGAGAGCGCTGCCTCACTCAGTATGGACGGACCTCTCCACAGCCCGCCGCCACTCCAGTCACCAACTCCTCCTTCGTCCCCAGATGTTCCACCTTTTCCTCAGCTGGACCACTTCAGTGAGGACACCAGTATGAGCCCTCTACCCGACAATGACCTGCTACCGGAAGATGAAGATGAGGATTGCTCCGAATCGTGCTCGCTGTCTCACTTCACTTCCTGCTCTGACTCTTATCCTAAAACCTATGCAGACTTTTATACAGAGTCCCACCAAAAATCTTACTCGGAGCTAAAATCCCATCCCAACTCTTTTCCTGAGCCCCTTAAGACCTCCTACCCTGAGTTGCACAGAGAACCTCGCAGGCAATCTGGTTGGAGGACTGAGTCTAATAAGGTCCAGCAGGAGTCCCGCCAAGAGCCCTTTACCAGCCATAGACAGGAGAATGTACAAAAAGGGGCTCCATCCTCCCCATCCACCAAGGCTCCCCTTTATGCCCCAAAGCAGGGCAGAGACCGCAACTCCCATCACTCCCCTCTTTACCGCTCTGTTGGCTGCCGGCTGCACCACTACGACGGACAGTCTGACTGTGAGGGGGAAAGCGCCGATCAAAGTCCCGTTCCCAAAAGTCGCAGGCAGCCAGCTAGACAAGCAGAAACCCAGGCCAAGAGCCCCTCGTCTGGGCAGAGCAGCTCAGGAGAGGCCCAGGAGGAGCGGAATGTGGAAGGTCTCCAAGATGAATACGGTACGAGGGGCTCAGGAGACGCCATCATCCTGGCAATTAAAGACATCAAGGAGGCGATTGAGGAGGTGAAGATTAAGACTGTGCGCTCCCCCTACACACCTGACAAGCCTGTGGAGCCGATTTGGGTGATGAGGCAGGAGGTGAGCCCCACAGAGGAGGTATACCCACTGCAGACTACAGCTGGCCATGTAAGTATGACTTCAGTCTCCCTTAAAGCTTACTGTTTTTGTTTTTAATGAAAAACATCTCATCATCGCAGCTGTGATCTGTTACCTTTTTACAATTTCTTATGTGTCACATGAACAATTGCAACATTTCAAGTCCAAGTTGGCTCATCCAAACGATTTTCATTCTTGCAAGAATTCAATTAAATTTCATTGCTTACGGGAAGTTTTACAACAAGATTTACATCCCTGGTTCTCATTTCATTTTATGTTGGATTGATGCCCAAATCCTGAATCATGTATCCTTGGAATAAGGTGTCAGCTGAGTTGGTTTCTCTCTGCTTCATTCTCTCAGTCTTCTCCTCACTCCCCCGCTCAGTCTGAGTCTCCGTCCCGCTATGCATCAGTTCCAGTTCGCGAGCCGGTCAGTCCGCCGAGAGCTGAGCCAACCAGAGCACATCATCCTCAGCATTATCACCAACCCCAGCCCCAACACAACCATCACCACCACCAGGGCCACCATTCACAGCAGAGGGACACCGCGAGGGCACTGCATGCATACGCACAGCCGCAACCCCTAGCGCCTAATCAGCATCACCAACGCCAACATCAACAACAGAATCAGCAACAACAGCAACAGCAGCTTCTAGCTCAGCGGCCGCGACCTCAAGTTCAGCCACAGTCTCCTCCACAGCAGCCGACTCTCCAGGAGGTGAGAGTTTGTGAATAAGCATCCATACGTCCATAACATGTAGAAAAAAAGATGCTCCTTATAGCTCCAGAGCTTGCCTGAAATTCATCACATTTTTAAGTTTCTTTTAGCATCAAAGTAATATTGTGACATTTTGTCTGCACATTCATTGGTACATTGCAAACAGGAACCTCTAAAAGCTAATTTAGTATACTTTTAGTCCTGCCAATTTGCAAAAATGTCCAGCTGTAGACCACTGTAATTCATGATATCCATGGCGACATGGATGATAGATTCTGCAAAGGGAGGCTTCTTTTACTAGTGTTTATCTTCAAGCAGCTGGGCGGCTGCCAGCGGTAAAAGTCCTGCAGAATTTAAATGAGTTAAGAGAGACATGAAGTATGTGAGTAGAAAAAATAAGGATCGTAATACAGTTTTTCCTTTTTTGTGCCTTCTCAGCTTCGCAGAGCTCTTCCTCCATTTCCAACATTTGTGGATGGTGAGTGGACTCGCATATGAAAATCATGATATCCTTCTCGGCTCTTCTTCTGTCCATCTGTTGACGTTGTGTTCTCGTATTTAAAATGTATTGTTGATCTGTATGCTTGTGTGCTAGCATGTACTCGTGTGTAGATGTGCCTAACAAGTGCTTTTGGTTCACGCAGTACCGGGACCATGCGACCCTGAAGACCTTATTGACGGCATCATCTTTGCAGCGACCTACCTGGGCTGCACCCACCTGCTGTCAGAAAGGACACCCACAAAGAGCGCCCGCATGCAGCAGGCACAGGAGGCCATGAGCAGAGTCCGGGTGAGAGCACACTACAGCCTGTTTGATTTCTTGTCTATGTCATATCGTAGTGAAGGGAACCCCAGGACACTATGTGGCTGTGTCCGAAAATCACTCAGTTCCCTTACACACTATTCTCTATAATATGATAGACACTCTACTTTACTCTATAGTCAGCAGGAAGCAATCATCTTCATTTTGCATCTTCACTGACAAGTGTAGCGTTACCTGAGTGTAATGTTTTGCCTCCATAAAATGTTAGAAGTAAGTAAAAATCATGCCTTGGACATTTCTTCTCTCTTTCTACCACAAGGTGTTAAGTCTAGGTGATTAATAATAAAGTTTACAATAGATAACAAGGAGCTCAAAGATCAAATCCACTTCTCCTCGGTTTGGAGATCCATTTTCTAACACACTTCAGATCATCAGTGATGTAACAGAGGTTCGCTTCATATTTGGGTCTTTTAAAGTCAGAAACCCTCAGCAGGCAACACAGCCAGCAGGCAAAGAGTCACTGGGTTTGTGCACGATGTAGCATTCACGCATCACTGCTCCGGATCTACAGTCATACAGGATTTTCTCCTCGGCTTCAATGGATGTTATGTAAATTGTTGAGCAAGGCTATGATGCCCTGGAGACTGTAACCCTGCTTTATGCTACAGTCACAGTGCACGATGTCATTCGCAAAGAGAAAACCCTTCTTACTTTAATCACGGTGATTAAACTTACATTCAAGTACATCGGCGTGTATATACGTGTGTGTGTGTGTGTGTATGTATGTGTGTGTGTGTGTGTGTATGTATGTATGTATGTATGTATATATGTATGTGTATATATGTATATGTATGTATGTATATATGTGTATATATGTGTATATGTATATATGTATGTATATACGTGTATATGTATATATGTATGTATATGTATATATGTATATATGTATATACGTGTATATATGATTTTACATGGGTTGCTTTTGCTGGTTTCATGAGAAGAAATGAAAAGTGTGAAAGATGACTTACAGTATGGTAGGGATGGGAAATGGCTTTAAGGTATTGACTGAAATAACCCAGTACCATGTAGTATCCAAACTTGTCTAGTCAAACAATACCTGCATTCGATCCTAATTGTATCCAGTTCTTAGAAAAATTAATTAGTATAGGTTATGCTCACGGTGTGATTGGCTCGCTACTGCAGCATCTACGACCCATACAGTTTCTGGTGAAGTCAAACCCGGTTTATATGACAGAGTTGGCAGTTCAGCATGCTGAGATGCCACCAAAACGTTCAGTAGTATGGCTATCTGGCTTAAAAAAAGGTATTAAATGTACTCTGTGGGGTTCTGTATCACTGGTATTTGTCCTGGTTGGGTACTTTTTTGATCAACACCCAACCCTACACCGTGGCATTCAAACATAGTACTGCTGGAGCGGCAGAGATGGACATTTAGGAGAGTCTAGTGAAGGAAGTCAGAGGCAGGAAGAGGACATGAGATGAGCCAAACTTTCTGCTTTCTGGGTGGTTGACTGATAGATCCGGGACACTGCCTCTGTTATGATCTGAGAAAAGGGAGAAATATAGAGACGGTATAATGGTGAGGGGGAGTCATTTTACTGTTTTAGAAAGGAAAAGACAGAGAGGGGGGATTGCTGTCGAACAGGCTGGACATCTCGCATATGGATGCACTGATCCGACACAAAGTGGCTGATACGAAGTACAGATCTGATACCAGTGCTTCCCCCCCCATATTTAAAATCTGTAATGAAATCTGTGTGGAACTGAGGAAGGGGTGAAGGGTTTAAAAAACTCATGCACATTTGCATAATATTAAAAGTATACAGATAAATTGATTTAAGAGGAAAATATATTGTCCTATTTTTAAATGGCCATCAAGGATTGAACTTAAAAAAAGGAAACTGACTTTTTGAAAAAAGCTCCACAGGCAGGATATTATGATTCACGAGATATCTGCCAAATATGAAATGAAAATAAAATAATGGAGATGACATGACTGCCTCTAACAGAGTGAATAACGGAGTAAAAACCAGTGACGTCCACTCACAGTGAGGAGCTCGACTTGACCTCATGATGATGATGGTGATGATGATGATGATGGGCGGTGTGTGGTTGAAATGAGACACGCTGTTGCTCCAAGAGCGTCTGGGAAGGTCTCAACAACAATAGTGCTTAGAATTGCTTTTTTCTTGACCGCAGTAAATAAAGACTAGTCAGCAGTATGTGTTCGCTTTAACAGAGGTCTGATTATCACCATTTATAGATGTGAGATTTCAATATGACAAGAGTTTTACATTTTTTCGGTCGAGGGCAGCAACAAATGATTTTCATTGTTGATTGATTGAATTGTCTTGGTTAATTGTTTTGTCTGTAAAATGTCAGAACATAGTAAAAAAAATACTCGTCACATTTTTCCAGGGTCCAAGAAAATGTGATCAAATGTCTTTGTTGGAACAACAGTCCAAAATCCAAACATGCAGCCATCTTTTATGTTAATGGCTCTTTTTCACAGCAGACATTTTGACTTGTCACAGTAGGAAAAGCACATGTGTTACTTTTAACATTAACAGTGATTAACTACACCCATATTCAGCGGCTGCAGATCATAAACTTTCATTACAAGTGCCGCTCTTGCAATTTTAAATCTGTGATTTTAATAAAACAAGACTAAATCGTTCAACTCTAAATGTATCTTTCACATAGTGTACAAGGTATTAAGGCCGCCTCTGTTGAAATGGAATACACAGTTGTTTGAATCCACGTAGAAGCTAGGACCCTTTTTAAATGTCAAAGATTAGATTTAATTAAATCTATAAAGAATGGGAGCAAACAGGTTTGGATCTGATTGAAAGACACAGAAACCATTTGGAGAGCAAATGGTGGCACAAGCCAATATTTTGGAAACACAAACCTTGAGCTGTCATGAGGCGAAACACATGCGGCCGCTTCTCTGTCCTCAGGTTTGTTTGTGTCACATTGATGAAGAGGAACATTTTTGCTGCAAAGGCCTCTGGCAGCCTGCTAGTGTCAGACATGATAGACAGTAAAATCACTGTCCTCCCACATACACAACACACACCTTTTAAGGTCCTTTTGTCCCTTCATTTTGCATTTGGAATGGAGACAGTGAATGAGGCGATTAGGTTGTTGTTGATCCACCCAAAAAGCTATTTCCTTATACTTTGTTGTCTCTTTCTGAGTCTCTATTCTGCTTTCTGATCATTGCAGGCTGCTCAGAAGCAGGCAAAGAACAGGAAGAAGGTAAGCTAGTTTAGTTTAGTCTCTTTGATTGTGTATTTCATGTAAAATATGACTTGTAAGTACAGAAATTTGACATCAAATGCTAATGTTGGACAAGGAGAACATTTGTGCAGGTGATTTAAAATGTATTCTTTTGTTTGTCGCGTGCAGATTGCATGAGACATCTGTCTTTTACATTCATTAGTCTTATTTGTATGCTAAAGATTTGATGGCTCTTGACAGTTACGACACCTGCTCCGCTCTCCTTCACTGGCGTTCATAACCTGTCGCTTCTTCTGCTCACTTCTATACATGTGGATTCTCTCCGGCTGCGCAGAGCCCTGACGGGGAGGCTCCGGCCACTGCTGAGGTTGATCTGTTTATGTCCACGCAGAGGATCAAAGTCCTCAATGCAGACACTCAGGTATGAAAGTGATAACAAGCATTCCTTACCTTAGCTCATCAGTATATACCTTGAATCCTTCTGGAGGGACAATGTCATCCTACAAAGAGAGACATTTCATCATCTTCTTTTTTTGGATCACCAGGAGTCTTTAATGGACCTGCCACTAAGGACGATCTCCTACATAGCGGACATCGGTAACATGGTGGTGCTGATGGCCCGAGGGAAGATGGTGCGCTCCCGCAGCGCACAGGAAAACTTGGACCACACAGCTGAGCAAACCACCATGACCCCCGATGACAGACGGCTGTACAGGATGATCTGCCATGTCTTCGCGTCAGAGGATGTGAGTTATTGATCGTTAATCTGTTGTCGTTTTATTATCCTAAACTATTCATATGAATCCTACTGTTTGGGTGTATTGGGGTTTACTGCTCGCTAGCAGTGTTTGTGTATTTTTTATTTATTTTTTTACTTTTTGAACCGGGGCCCCCGTCTGGAGGCAGACCTGGGAGGGGAGCTCACCGGCGAGTGTCTCACGGCCGGGCACAGCCCGAAATAACTTCATGGAGCCACCGCCCTGTGTGCACACCATATGATGAAACAAGTCAAAATATAATATTCAATAAAAGTGAAAGAAAGTCATGGTGTGTATATAGTATGTTGAAAAAAGTCATAGTTTAGTATATCGAAAAAAGTAATTGGTAACCCATAGTATAGTATGTTGAAAAAAGTCATAAAAACACCACAGTATAGTATGGAAAACAAGTTGTAAAAAGTCTATAAAATAATAAAGTATAGTATGTTGAAAAATATCAAAAAGTCATGGTATAGTATGTTGATAAAAGTGAGATTTTATCTTAAAAATATGTTGTAGCGTGTCAAAAAGTCATAGGATAATATGTTAAGAGGCTATTAAAAAAACAATATAGTATAGCATTAAAACTTCAAGTTTCAAGTTTTCAAATTCTTTATTGTCATAATGCATAACAATTCCAGAGTTGTTTAGTATAAAAATCATGCTTCCTTCAACAATTCTCATAGAATAAGTATAACAACAAAGTCTCACACGTTCTTAAAGTTGAATCTAAGGCTTAATATAGTGCAAATTAAAAAAAGAATGAATATAACGTACATAAAATATATTCTTGATACACAGCAAAATTTGCAAAATGACAACTATAATTTGAGAGGAATGCATTTGCTTAATGAGAAGTAATAAATACAGAGATGCAAATGTATTGTAAAACAGTAGGTACAAGTATATAAAGGTATGACGCTGTCCCGGAGCCTGGTGGTCCAGGACCAGATGTTGCCTTACCATCTGCCGGACGGCATTAGGTGGCCGGGGTGATTGGGTTCCCTGATCATTGACTTTCTTCGTACACCACTGAGCGCAGAGATCCTGCGAGGTGCTGAGCAGTTTCCACCAGCCTCCGTGGATCCTTCCAGTTGAAAGCTGAGAAAATGCCACATCAGACAATAAGGCATAACAGTCGGGATACTCTCAATGGTGCACCGGTAGAAGTTGCAGAGTATTCTGGGAGAAAAAGTCACAATAATAGTCTTTAGTGTAGTATAACAAACCATACAAATTCATGAGATTGTATATAATAGAAAGTCATAAAAATGGCAATGCAAGATCACAATATATTATGTAAAAAATGTGTTTATTATAAAGTTATAGTATAGGCTGTCAAAAAAAGTCCTAGTATAGAATATCACAGCTTAGTATGTTGAAAAAATAGTTTGCGTTATTTATTAAGAGTTTAACATTTAGATCCTCAAGCTAATCTGCTACGTTATGTATATGTATTCTGTTTATGCTTTCAACATAAGCAACCCACCAATTGGAAGTCCTGCATGTGACATCTCCTCATGAAGAGCACAGACGGAAAACTTTAACAGAATATATGTTGTCAGGGCCTTTAAGACTTGGTTTTAGAGTTAAATTTAGGTTAGAGTAAGTTGAGTATGGATAAGACATACACGTCAATAAGGGTCCTCGCAAACATTGTAATACCATGCGTGTGTGACTTTCAGTGTAATGTAAACAAGCCTTTAAAATATAATATGTGGGCTTTTGTCTGCACAGACCAAATTCCCACATGGACTGTAAAAGTTACCCGTCATTGACGAGCCCTCGTCCTCTTCCTCTTCCAGGCTCAGCTCATAGCTCAGTCCATTGGCCAGTCGTTCAGCGTCGCCTACCAGGAGTTCCTCAGGGCCAACGGAATCGACCCAGAGGACCTGAGCCAGAGGGAGTACAGCGACCTGCTCAACACTCAGGACATGTACAACGACGACCTCATCCACTTCTCCAAGTCAGAGAACTGCAAAGATGTAAGTGAACCAGTAGGTGGCAGCACAGTCACAGGAGTTTTTTCATATACTTCTTGTGCTTAAATTGAGTAGATTCTTACTTTAAAACAAAATAAATGTCGTCTGGAATTTAATAAAATATTCCACTTAACATATGGATTGGCCTTTATGTGTTCTGCAACTTTTGCACGTACAAAGAACCCTCACATTCAGGTATCATAAATATTTGGACACAAATGCGCTCAACCAGGTCTGACCTCAGACCTCTTCCCTCCTCTCACGGCTCCGAGCGCCGGCTGTCGTCTCGCATTCTTTCAGAATTGTGCAGTTGGCCGCGAGATGCTTAAATTTGGATGACTACTCCACCAGGAGACGTTTTAAGACTTGAATTTGAACAGTAAATGTTACTTTTCCATAGTTTATCCTGCAGGAGAGAAGTCTGTTCATAAACCTTATGAAGAGCGCACTCTTCAGAGCGCACTCTGTCCTCCGAAAGGTTGCACAAATACGACTGGATGTGGTTCCTCGCAGGTTTACATTGAGAAGCAGAAAGGAGAGATCCTGGCCGTGGTGATCGTGGAGTCGGGCTGGGGGTCCATCCTCCCCACCGTCATCATCGCCAGCATGATGCATGCTGGGCCGGCAGAGAAGTCTGGTCGACTCAACATTGGAGACCAGATCATGACCATCAATGGGACGAGTCTGGTGGGTTTACCGCTAGGCACCTGCCAGAGCATCATCAAGGTATGCAGTTAGACCTTTTTGAAGAATATTTTTCTATCTTGTGTGTGTATATAGCTGCTGGTGTGGCTGTAGACTCCAAGTCTTGTTGTAACACAGGAAAACCACACCCGTATGTCCTGTGTTACCCTCAGGGTCTCAAGTCTCAGTCCAGGATCAAGCTGAACATCGTCAGGTGTCCTCCTGTCACCATGGTGCTCATCCGCAGGCCGGACCTCAGATACCAGCTGGGCTTCAGCGTCCAGAATGGCATCGTGAGTTTAGGGGCTGATCTCTGCCCTCTTTCTAATGACTGAGGAGCTTTTATTTTGTTAACAGCGCTCTAAAACCAGAGTTCCTAACAACAGACATAGTGCTGTGATTGTTATGATCATGTTCAAGGACACATTTAGACTTTTTTACATGATTAGTCTCAGTTACTGTCACTGTTAGCTGAAAAAGTATCCTCTCACAGCCGTCTTTGCCGGAGGCTTTCAACTATGAGTTCACCTCCCCCGTCTTTAAACTTGCACAGATCTGCAGCCTGATGAGAGGAGGCATCGCGGAGAGAGGAGGCGTCCGTGTGGGTCACCGCATCATCGAGATCAACAGCCAGAGCGTGGTGGCGACGCCTCACGAGAAGATCGTTCAGATTCTGTCAAACGCCATGGGAGAGGTATGAGGAGTTCTGGACGTCTCTTTTTAAAATGATATTCAAACAAAACCACTTCCTACATAAAGGGTGCCTGTAAGTCTTGGAGCCACTGTCGGTAACACTCAACATTTCCTGCATATGTGTGTCACATTAAAAGCGTTCCAGGAGCTCAGCGGGTATTATCCCTCTGTTTCCTGGTAATCTTTTGGTTTGTAACATCTGTGGGAAATGTTTAGCTTCCTTGACAATAGTTTTAAAAGAAGAAAGTTTAAGCAACTGGACATAATTGACTGAAAACACTGTACTGATAATTAGTGTTGTGGAAATGTACATTATACTGAATTTACCACATGAGCTTTAATTTGTTTGTGCCGACCATTACTATAGATTATTTGAATACCTTCTTTCAATACTTAATGGTATCTATGGTCCATAGAAGATATCGAATGAGTTTGGGGCCTGGACCAACATTTCTTTTCATGACCGTAACTCTAAAAATTCACACGGAATCCATTGCAGATGTTAACGTTCCCCAGAGGGAGGATGCTCATTATTTCACCAACCCTGTGATCTCTGAATATTTTTAATTGTGTGCTGTAATGGTCATTGCACCCTATAACAATCTTAAGAGAATTAGTGTTACTATTGTATAAGAAACACTACAAAAATAAACAATTCATGCGTGACAGTGTTCCGTTGCTTTTTAAAGAAATGCGTTTTTAATTCTCATCATGTGGCTTCTTTCTGCTCCAGATCCACATGAAGACGATGCCTGCAGCCATGTACCGTCTGCTGACAGCACAGGAGCAACCCGTCTACATCTGAACAAACCTGTCTCTCACATCACCTCACTCTTTACTACCGTCCATCCCTCTCTGTTTGAAATACCCGTCTCCTCTCTGTGTCCCGTTTGATTTCACTTGACTTGCCTTACACTGTCATGTAAATCTACAGTATGACAGCAGAAGACAGATTATCTCACCAGGCCGAGTGTTAATGTGACGTGTTATGTTTGACCAAAGAGAAGTAGTGGATTTTATTGTGTATAATTTAGGTGGCAAGCCGAGTAAACAATAGCTGTAACATCTGAATGTACTCTAAATCATGTCGGACCTATAACTGATCAGGGCAACCCAGATGATAAATAAGATTTAAAGTGAAGTAGTCGAGTCAAAGGGGAATGCATGTACAACTACTGAATAAACTAAAGACAAGGCGGTGTCAATAAACTGGTTTCATTCAACAGGATTTGAACTGAAGGCTGTTATTTCAGACAAATGAATGAAGTTCAAGTGGGACAAGAAAAGACTGCATCGAGGTAGCAAGAAACAGCTATGAAGGGTCATGCAGTGATTGGCCAGGTGTGCAGTGGTGAGAATGTAGGCGGGATTTGAACAATAACTGCTTTTCACCCAACCTTGGTGTGTGTGTGTCGATTTAGGACAGGTATAAACACTGTGGCCTTAACGCGTGATCGGACGACACTTTGTACAAAGTTTGATGAAGTTGACCCAAATAAAACATGACAAACCTGACGCTTACAAAAAAAGTTTAGAAAAATGTAAAAAGCGATTTATTTATTTGAATTTACCAAGAGTCTGTTCTGTAACACGAAGGAGATCACAAACTAACATTTAAACTGATGCACCCACATGATTGTCATCACCACAGACTTGACTGAGTTCAGACTGGATCCAATATAAAAACATATGCAGTGACTCGGATCGTCTCTGGTGGCAAGCAGCTAATAAAGACAAACAGTGTTGTGCTGCACCCCTTATATCCAAACCTTACAAATTCATCATCTGAACGTTTAACCAGTAAAATCTGTGACATCATTTACCTGGTCTGTCTGCTCCAGCTGAGTTAAATACAGAAATGCTTCCAGATGTAATTTTAAAAGTGAAATACAGATGTTGCATGTATGAGATCCTTCTGCATCTCTTAATTACAACTTTGCATCTCCAGAGTTATTCTTTGGTGAAGACGATGTGCCTCTGCACCAAACGGCCAATAAAGGGAAGAAACAGGACCGTTTCCTGTTGATTCAATTTGCATCTTGTATTTCGTCAGTGTCGACGATACAGAAATATCTTTTCAGTAGGTCCACTTAAGACCCTTATGTTGTCTGCTAATAGTTGTCTCCAAACTTATATTAGAGCTACAAGGCACTTGTGAAAATGCTGCCTCCCACACACATTACACTCTGTAAAATATTTATAATATGAATCAGAGAAGACTTGGCAGGAGAGCCATAAGAAGAGGAAGACAAACACCTACAGAGCGGTTCAGGAAGGAATCCTACAACCTGGAAACTAGTTTGCATAGTTACACCTCTGGTTCCCTCGTCTCTCAGTCGACGGGGTTATAGATTGATGTCTGTAGTTAACACAAGCGTAATAGATTCAAACATTTCATCATAAAAGTGGTCATTGGTAAAAAAAATGATCTTGCTGAACAAAACCTGTAAGTATCATAATCATTCATAATCATGGTGTTTGACATAGATCTCATTGTCTGATAATGGATAAATAATATTGGCTTTTAGTCGAGGGAACCAGTGAGACGCTGATGTCCGGGGCCGGCCTTCAGAAACATGTCTCCCTGCATCATTCTGTGTATAACTCAACCTGACACAGTTTGATTTTTATATAGTATGAGAATGCCTGAAACCAGCTAGTTGATGGTGTGGAGGGTCACAATATTGGATGTAAAAAAAGTCTAGATATTGTACATAATCTACAGTTTCTGCCTTGTCGTGACATTGCAGTAACAGAAGTAAGCATCTGAAAAATATAAACCTGGCAACCTTTCAAAAGCCCAAAAGGTCATCCAACAACACCTGCCGATGATGACAAGACGGTAGCTGGCTATATGTCCTTGCTCAATGTGTATATTTACAATATTGTTCCTTTCCAGAGTTCTCTAGGGGCCACGCAATAGGCCCTTCAAACAGGCCACGCCCCGAACCGGAACTGCACTAGTAATTTAAAAACTACAGAAAAAGTGCAGTTTAACAACCTCCTGGGCTATTCATCCGTCAGGAAAGACGTGCTACGCTGTGACTCTAATGCAACGGTAGTGCATGAGGTAATGCACGGGGCTGGGTGTGATGGGGGAAAATAAAACCTCTTCAGACGCATCAAAACAATATATACACCGACATATCTGAGAAAGAGGAGAGTCAGGACGGTACATTTGAGAAGTGTCTGGAATAAGTGTTGGAATTGACATCTCAGAAATCTGAATACAAACAAAAACTCAAGAGTTTACACATCAAGGTAAAAGTTGCACAAGTTGTTACCACGGTAACAAACGTTGACTGCTCGCAGCGACGACGTGGGAGGGATCCGGACGTGTGAAGGCGTCACTTCCTGGTGTCTCAGCCTACAGCTCAGTGTCATTGTATCTCTGAGGGTTGTAGTATCCTCTCTTGGTCTGGTCGGCCAGCTGTCTGCGGTACTCCGCCTCATCCTCCTCGTATCCTCGGGAGTCCGAGTACGGCTGCCTGGAGGGCTGCTCGGGATTGGAGCTTGAACTGATCACACACACACACACACACACACACACCCCGCAGTTTAGCTTTTCCTCTCATAGGAATAACGGTATAAAACCCAACAACATCTTAATACATCTATTGTTTTTACTGTGAAGAGTGATGCTCTCACCCTATTGGCTGAGGACGGTTGAGGTTGGGTTTTGGCAGTTTCACCGGGATGGCGTAGATGTCTGGATGCTTCTGGGCGATTTCCAACTGTGCAGAGAGAAGCCCAAGATCAGAGGCAGCGCTGACCGGATGTTTTTAATGTCATTGACCATGTTTTTTTTCTCCCAACAACGACGTAAAAATCAGAAGGCTGTCCGTCATTTTGACACCGAGGTTTGAGTTCAGGCAGCTCAATCAACCCCTTCGCTAAGCCCCTCCCCCCTTGGTTACTTTGGAATATGTCTTACTGATATTGTTGAAAACATAAGCATATTAACAAGAGGAAATAATAGCAGATTTTTGGAATAATAGTTCTTAAATATCAGAGAGATGTATGCAGAAAGGACTACAGTATGCATTTGAGAGCTAAATCCACAATAGAATTTGACGGCAGTGTGTTGTGAATGAACTGGTCCCAATGTAAGGATCAGGGCAGAGCTACAGAGCAGTGGCCCTTACTCTGATCCTCTCTCTACCCTCGTCATACTTCAGGCCGTAATATGAATAAAAACAATACTGACTCTCGCATTTTCTGCCTCTTGCAGCTCCAGGATCCTCTGAGCTCGGGCCAGATGGTCCATTTTCTCAAAAGCTTTAATCTAGGAGATGAATAAATATTAATTAATGTTCCATTTCATATGCTAAATAGTAGACACAGCACATCCACATGGCATGATTCATAAACAAATGACCGACAGTGAAACATTTTAGTGTAACTTAATGAAATGAAGAGGACGATACATTATTACAACAGATGAGTAATTATGGAATTCAAAGGCGGGCTTCAAACATTCAACACGAATGCAGACGTATGCAGTTACCTGATCACCCGTTTTCTATTTCATATTAGAAGCAATGAAAGAGGAAGAAAATGAAATAAATAATCATTTAATAACTGAGTCAAAGCCTCCGTCAGAAAAAAAACATTCTAGATGCTGGATGAGCCGGGAACATGTGACGGAGTGTTACTTAGAAGGGATATGTGAGATTGAATAGATCAGAAGAGGAATGTGTTGCTCAAGTTATCTACTGTGTTGGTCATACAAATGCAGCATGATAACACTAACCTTGCCCAGGAAGGATTTGTTGGCGGGGTCCTCGTCCCCCGGGCTCCTCTCCTCTGGCGGCTGGCTCTGACGTGGGACGGGGGGCTTCAGGGCCACAGGAGGCGGGAGCGGCTTGTTTACGCCCACCGCATCGCTGCTGATGATGGTGCTGCTGGAGTGTGAGTCATAGCTCTGGGATGAGTCAGTCCGAGTCTGAGCCCGCACCTGTCACAGGGAAGGACAGTTTGAGATATTCTGAAAACCTTTATTTATTTAGCGGCCAGAGGCGGGGTTTTGGTGAGGACGACCTGCTTCAGCACCAGGCTCCTCAAATTAAACACCTCCTTAAGTTCTGTTCATATTCTTATCAGTACGATTCAGATTTTCAGGCTTCTTCTTCATCAGTGAGATAAAAAAGGTAGAGCAGTTTACAGTGGTTGGGGAGGAAGGAGGGGGAGGATCTCACCTTCGGAGGTTCGGGGACAAAATGAGGGAGGGGAGGGCTGGGATCTCTGTTCAGCATCTCTCTGCTCCCTGACCTCCTCATACGAGCCCGGGGTTCAGGATGAGGTTTCTACACACACACGGACACAGGGGGGGTGGACAGGGTAAGATTATGGATTTTGCCCCACCTACAGTATATACACTGCGCAGTATTTCATTCAGCATTCCCACCTCATCTGGCAGCACGGGCTCTGATGATCGACCGATGGCAGACACCGGCTGGGGCTCGTCCAGCGGCTCGTCCAGCTCGTTGTCAGTGTAAGCCCCGCCCTCGTCCGCCGTGTCTTCGTAGTCGCTGGTGAGCCGGCTGTCCATGCTCAGGTAGTCCGCGCTCATTGCCGACAGGTAGGACATGCGGTCGTCGTGGAGATCCAGGTCCTCCTCCGAACCGTCCAACTGAGGAAGAAAAAGGTGACGATACAAACTCAACCTGGATGTATTACACCTCACACCCACACACACAGTGAAGTTCATTTTGCTGCCATTTCTAAAGTATACTCTTGGAGGACATGTAAACTTTTGAGAAATGCCCACGGCAGTGTTCCGCTCACACGGATAGTTAGACCCACCTTGCCCTCACACACCCACACAGCTCTGTCCTGCTGCTCCTGGATTGAATCTTTCACGCTGCCATACCACGCGTCATTGGCCGAGCTCAGGTCAACAGTCGCTGAACGAAAAACAAGACGACACAAAGTTAGCCCAAGAATCCCGAACAATGTGTCAGTTAATCCGCATGAATCGTAATGAGCCACCGCAGTACTCTTAAGTTATAATGGTCCTCACATCCAGAAGGAAAGGAGAGGTGTGATCGCTAAAGGATCCTTCAATCGTGTCTTAAAACATGCGTTTAATAAAAGAAAAAGTTAGTCCCGTTTCTCTTTTGTCATCCATTTTTATCAATTTTGTACATCGATGGCTCATTGTTACCATTCACAGTCGTGACATCTTTAACCTTGATTTATCCATGTACAGCACCTCGTAACATTAAGAGATGTATTTAGATTGTCCTTATTCTGCTCTCATAGTAGAACCTACCAGTGAAAAGGTGCGAGCAGGTCTTCCTGAGCTTCACGGCCTGCTCGTACAGTTTGCGTGCGCTGCGGGTGGATCCGGGCACGAGGCGGTTCCTCATGGTCTTGACGCCTTGCTTGCTGTCCGGGTTCAGGAAGATGACGATGGGATACCACTGGGTGTAGTTCAGAGTGTCCACGGCTTTGGGAGTCACATCCAGCAGAGCGTGACGGTCCTGAGGACAACATGAGTGTTAGATGATCCAACAGTATTTTCAGAAAACTACTTTTTTTTTTCTTGGGTACCATACCTGTTCAATGATTTGTCTGATGGTGTTTAGTCTCACCACTCCGGTGGATTTCTCAGTTCCTGCGTCTTTGGGCTCCGTTTCTGAGAGAGGATTAAAACATATTAACAATGCAAAATGATGCGCAATAATCGATCATCCTAAAATACTTAATATTAACTATTTTCACTTTATATTGTATGTTATACAACACTGCCACAGCAACGAACAGCTGATGAGGTAAGCACTTACTGGCGACGACGAACTCGCTCGGCATGTCGTTGCCCAGTTTTTCATTCACTGCATCGGAAATGGGCCCAAATATCACCACAGGCCTCCTGAAACCAGCTGAACATGCAACAGAATACACATTCAGTCACACGTAGACAGAGAAAACATGCCAAATATATATTTGTGTGAAACTGCAGAGTGACCAGGGGATAACTTCTTTTTTTTTTGGGTACCTTCACGTAAGACCACCCTCTCGTATGCAGGGAATTTGGTGGTGACTGGAGCTGCACTGAGGTCCTCTCGGCTCTTGCGCAAGTCTTTCTTCTTCGCCGCCCTTTGACCTCTCAGCCTCCAGAAGTCTCCTCTGTCGTTGCCCGATGCCACCCGAGCAGCATTCTGGACGTTGGACATTTGCTCTGCTCTGTGAGACGGAATAAAAAAAGAGCTTTAGTCGGCATCACCGTAGCATGGCCAACACTAACATATACAGATGCACACGTAATCATGCTGATTCATTTAACAAATACTCAACCCTACGTACATAACCACCACAAGCCTGCACACACCTGCTCTTGTTGGGGATGATTCCTTTCTCCCGCAGCTGGTTGTCTATGTCGGAGCGGATTGCCAGCCAGTTGCCAAGTTTGCCATCATAAAGTGTGTCCGTCACTTTGAAGATTTCTCCTCTGGTGAAAGCAAGGCTCTGAGGAGCCTCCTTCTCGTACTCAAAGTGGGTCCTGATGAAGAAAGAATCACCTCTGCCAGACGCTAAAATGTCCTTGTACACTGAAACAGAACACAAATGGAGAAAAAAAAAAAACTCCTGTCATTGGGTACGTCCACTCACTGAGTGTCACAAGGCATGATCCACAAAACTAAACCTCAACCTCTCCTCCTCTAAAGTGGATTTGGTAGCACAGTTCTGGGTCCACTGCTTTTCTATATCTTCGTGGAGTATCTCTGGAAAATTATCCGAAAATCTAACATATTTAATAGGTAATAACCAAGTGGTATTACCTCTGTTTTGCTTTGCTTGGCATTGCATTTATCTGACCTTCTTAACCATTGTTATTAATAGCAATAAATATTTGTATTAGGAGCCATTCTCTTACCGTCTTATGTGACAGTTAATATTTGTACTCAATGTTCGAGATATGGTCATTTACTACATCCCATGTACAACAAGCCCCAATGCATACAGTATATATTCTATACATCACCCACCCCTAGCAGCCATTACCCATGCAGTGCAGTACCTTCAGGTTTGCTTTGAGCAAGAATGGTGACATCTTCTCCTTTGGGAATCTCCAGGAGGTAGAGGACGGCATCCTCACGCACCATGCCTCGGAAGTCCATGTTGTTCACCTGAAACAGACAAGAAATACCGTTAGAGAGAGCGGTATAGTATAGAAAAGACTTAAATACAACAAGACCAGCAGATGGGACACTTCATTTTGACTCTTTTATATGTCTTCATGCTATGTTTACAGTGCTGTTCACTAGTTGGTACCTACAACCTGGTCAGAGACTAATGGGGATCCTAAATGTGGGTTATTAATCAATTCATGTGGAATAAAAGAAGTCTCACCTTCACGATCTGGTCTCCTGTGCGGAGACCCTCCTGCTCAGCTGCGCTGTCATCCTGAACGCCAGCGATGAAGATGCCTACATCGTTTCCTCCTGCCAGCCTCAGACCCACGCTGTCCCCTTTGTGGAAACGCAGCATCACCGTGTTCGGCCTGGCCGAAGAAAGAAAGATCTCATTGCGTCACATACCGACGAATTACATATACACAACGGGAAGGACGGAAGAAAAAAGTTCATGTGAAATCGTGAACTATGGGTCTCTGGTGTAAGAACCCAGAGAGAGCTGATCCAACAGTGTGGTGAATAACTATTTGCGATATACTGACCCATAAACGTCCTGGTCCTCTATGCTTGGCTTCATTGGCACCTTATGAGCAGCATGAGCCCTCGGGGCTGCAGTAACTGCTGGTATTGAAGAAACATGTTCATGTTTTTTTTAAAGATACATTTTACTCAAAACCGGTTGATGATCGAAGTTTTATATACTCGGAAGGAGACACTCGTGTACCTGGCGGAGTTTCTGATCGTGGCTCCTCCCTCTCTGCCTGCAAAGGGGGCGTGTCTTCTACGGCCCTGTCGGGCACTCTGAACGGTGTTGGCATAGCGCCCATTTTTGCCAGTCTGTTGGGTGGGTCCTCTCTGGTAATTTCACAAAATTCAAGCATCACAACATATGGTTAATCTCTGATAGGATATTCTGGTGGCCACATCGTCAGGTCTGCTGGGGACCTTTGTTGCATGTCATCCCTCAGTACACACTAATACCACCAAATCTGAGTCCCAAAAATCAGTCGATACTATCAAGAAAAACACAAAATGGCAGACAAATGAAACATTATAGAGATTAGTCATTGAAGAGAAATTCCTCCTCAATAAAATCCAAATTCATAATTATCACCACTGTCATTTCTTTCCTTTTTTTAATGTGATTGGCTAAGCTTCATGAAACACAAATCAACATAATCCTGTATTGTCCTGATTTCCCCGCTGTATTAAGCAACACACAGATAATACAGTCACTGGGGATATCTCAGCGGACTCTCTGGGGCTTTGATCATCACAAACCACTCGAATCAAGCAGTTCAATTCTTGCGTAGGAGGAATAAATACTTCCCATGGCTCAAGATTTAATGACGGCTTACCTAGGCTTCTCTCTAAGCCTCTCATTGGAAGAGTGCGAGGAGAGGTCGGAGTGGTGGCCCCGCCTCTCATCCTGTGGCGAGTAGGAGCGGTACGACTCGATCTCGGAGATATCTGCAACACAAAACAACAAACGCGATAAATATTTAACAAAAATAAAACATCCTTTCTGAACTTAAAGACGTCCATGGGTTTAATTTCTTCTCAATGCTCCTCCATTTTTAAAATTACTGAACGAGGCTTTCACACAATTCAAATGGGCTACAGGTCAGGGAAGCAGCAAAGGGAACAAACGCGCACAAATGAAGGTCACATCACTACAAAGTGGAGTACGCCCAGTAATTATATGTAGTACCGGCTCCAAGGAGAAACAAGCCAGATTGCGTTTTCCGTGTATGATTTACGAAGCACAGCAAACCATTACAAATCAAAATTAAGTAGCTGCACTTCAAGGTGGTTTGGACCTTGCAGAGCTGAAAACTCCTCACGCAACACAATCAGTCCCTATTGTTGTCCGAGGCCTTTACAGAGAGGGATGCTGAACGGCTGCTGCGGTGCCGACCTGAATGTAATGAAAGTCTCTCATATCCAATAGCAGATTATGATGAGGGATTAGATCACCCTGCCTGAGGCGAGTGAGCACTTTCTCTCTCTCACACACACACGCACACACACACAGAGACAGACTCCCAAAACCAGACAAAGTGGGTCACAAGTCTTCCAGCTATCCACCCCCCCCCCCATGCAAACATTTGGTCAGTGAACAATCCACTCACACCACGTATCTAGATCGGTACCGACCAATCAGGGCACGCCATCTGGTCATGTGACAGTAAAACCAGGTATAAAAGAGTGCGTAATCATGACGGTAGTTTGGTGAAGCTCTGCTTAGCTCATAGTGCTAGAACTACTTTCTTTTAAATATTTGCACACTTTTAAATAAAACTAAAAACTGATGTGTTAGTAAAACTTTTATTTTTTTAGGTTGATGGATAAATACAACAACAACAACGTTTCTACAGTTGATTCGTATGACGTTTATATGCAGTGGGTTTGTATATGCTGATGGCAGCCACTTGCGGGGTTTGCCTTTATGACGGATAGGACCTGCTGCTTTTCAGCTTCGAGTGTCTCTCACCATCGAGCTCAGAGTCGCTGTCGACCATCGGGGGGACTCGGATCAGCACTTGCTGCTTGTCTCTCTGCACCACCAGCTGCAGCTTCCCGCGGGACTTCTCGATCAGCTTCCCTGCGTCGGTGAGCGACAGGTTTTCGGTCACCGTACCGTTAATCTGATAGAGAGGGAGAGGAGATCCAGAGATCACTGCACCAACTACAAAGAATCAATGTAAACTGTATGAGCTCCGTGCAGTTATGTAATCAAACAGATTTGTTATGGAGAAAGAGTGATGAGAGGTTTGAAACTTCCACAAAACAAAAACATGAAAGAAATCTTCCTGTCTTTTGATTTAGTTTTCAAATAAGATACACAGCGTTCCAAATAACCAAATTCAACCCCCACACCAGAAGTTGGAGTTAAAATGTTATATACAATATTATTCTGACACAAAGCTTGTTCTCAATCTGCACTTTGGGGAAAAGCCTCGACCCTACCTTTAATATAATGTCCCCTTCCTGCAGGCTCCCATCTCTGCAGGCCAGTCCTGTGCTCGTCATCTCTTTGATGAAGAGCTGACTGCCAAGTCGAAGGCCATACTCTGGAAAAAAATGGTAGAAAATAATCATCTTTGTAGAATAACACATAAACCATCTATACACCTCGCCTTAGTAGTTGATTAAAAACATATTACCTGTTTTAGTACCAACTATAAGAAGTTCATCAGTCTCACCTTCGTTGGGCCGGTTCTTCAGCAGCAGCACATTCATGGGTTTCTCCAGAGGCTCCATGTCCCGCGCGGCGGGGCGGGCCAGAGGGATGGGCATGGCGGCGGGTGACGGCGAACGCTCCAGACGGTCCCTGCTCCCGCTCCTCTTCATCGGCTCCTCAAACTTCCTCGGGTCACTGGGGACGCGATCGCGCCCTCGCTCGAAGCTGCGCTCGCGTCCGCGGCCTCGTGCCGGGCTGTGGCTCTCGCGTCCGTAGCGCAGGTCTGGGCTGTTGGTGCGGTCCAGCGTTCGCTCGCTGCGGTAGCGTCTGTCCGGGCTGACCTCCCGGTCGAGGGCTCGCTCGCTGCGGTAGCGCCGATCAGGACTGTGGCCTCTTTCTAATGCGCGCTCGCTGCGGTACCTTCTGTCCGGGCTGGAGTCGCCCTTGTAGGGGCGATCCGGGCTGCGTTCTCTGTCCAAGGTGCGACCTTTGCTGCCGTCTCTCCTGTACTGCCGGTCCGGGCTCAGGTCTCTCTCCGTGCTCCTGCCGCGGTCCCGCCGGTCGTGGTCCCTGTCGTAGTCGCGCTCGCGTGTTTGGTAGCCAGAATCCGTGTAGCCTCCCCCGCCTCGCTCCCTCTCGGGACTGTGGTCCCGCCCGCCTCCACTGCGGCCGCTGTACACACTGCGGCGGTCCTGCTCGTAGTTGTAATCTTCATTGTAGTCGTTGTTAAAGACTCTGTCGTCGGGTGACGGGGGGCGGTTCAGCATATTCACTGGAACCTTCCTGGGCCTCTTGACTGTCTGTTGATTAAACAAGACTTTTATTCAGCAAACAACAAAAGAGATCAGAGGTCCACTTTAGCAGTACCCGAGAAGTGGAGGGAGAGAGAGGAAATACAAGGAGAGGTGGAGCAATACATGTGATTATATTACAAACACACGTCATGATTACATGAACAATGTTGTTATTTACCAAGCAACAAGAAGCAGAATACGCTTCAAACAACAAACCAAAAGCTGCACTTACAATTTTTGCCACTTTGCCGCACTTCCTGAGAGTCTGGACAGCGAAGGAGTGGAGGGCCCCCTCCATGGGGATGGCGTTCACCTGGATCACTCGGTCACTCTCACTGAACACAAACACACATCGATATGAGCTAATGCTACATGCTACATGCAAAAACAACTGGTAAATATGGATGGAAGACATAACTTGAATACATACATTTCATATTTTAAGTTAAAGTTTCTGTTCAGAAAGTTGTCTTAACACCAATTCACATAATGTGATGGCTACAAGTTGGGAAATAACTCCTTAGATCCAATATGGGTCCTGCTGAATTGTACTAAATTAAATATTTAGAGCACAGATGAATTGGTCAAAACAACAGTATCTTTCCCGACTGAATGAAACTCTACAACTTTAACCGACGACACTAAACTGCTTTACAGTCTGCAAAGGTTTTCTGAGCGTGTGGAGTCTTCATACTAAATCATGAGCAACAACGGTACGCACAACAAAAAGCCGTCAGCAGGTCCTCCCTGCAGGACGTCGGACACAACGATGGACGTCTCTCCGCTATCGTCATTCGGGTTCTCTCGGCCCCCTGACACTGCGAAGCCAAAGCCCATCTTCGGATCCTGAGAACAAAAAAAGAGTGGAAACATGTAAATCATGTGCAGCCTCCTATTCTGTGTCACAGTGAGTGAGTGTGTGTGTGTGTGTGTGTGTGCGTGTGTGTGTGTGTGTGTGCGTGTGTGTGTGAGAGTGAGAGAGAGGGGTCCTGTAATCCCTGTGCTGTGTGTCAGCTCACAGTGTATTATCATGGCTGTATTGTACGTGGTGCTTAAAGGGATTCTGACTCTGATTGCGATTACAATTGTGCGTTCTGGAGTTACGTATGACTGCAGCGGTGCAGCAGCCGACACGTCCGTGTTTGCATTCACTGCAGTGTTGTTAAAAAGGAGGGATTTTCTTTGTCAAACACCTCCGTTATTTTTTCCTGTGGAAACGTATATTTGAGCTTACAGTGCCTCCACCTGCCACTGCTCCACTTCGCCCAGATGAGATTAGGTCAGAGATTTCATGAGCCTGTCTCTTTATCCCCTCCCTTCCATCTGCATCTAAACAGAAACAAACCCATACAATTCACCACTGTGTCTAGCAGATGGCCTTGGAGGCAGAGGGAGGCAGGACGTGGGCAGAGATGAAGGCACAGAGGAGAAGAATACGTCAACAGTCTCTTCACCACTGATAAAACATTCTTAAAGAATAATTATTTCCTCTTATCAAAATATTTCGTGAAGAATTAGCGGAAAACCAGACTGTTGCTGCCAGACTATCACTATTCATGATGCAAGACGTGGGTTGGGTTGATATGTTGACTGTTGGAAGTCAAAGCAACAGATTGCCTCATTTCTTCTCTTCCATTTTGCCTGTATTATCGAAATACATACTTTACCAAAGTCGGCGTAAACAAACATTTTCATTACATCAAGCCTCGCTTTGCTGCTTTAATAGTGAAATACAAAACAGTGCCAGGATTCAACCTGGGCCCAACAAATCTTTGCCACTTTGTTATTATCCTCCATGTTTGTTTTTACTTTGCATCTAGCAATCTGATACAGTACATGAACTTATTAACAAAGTAAATGCATCTGTTTTTCAAACCCAGAGAGAGAGAGAGAGAGAGAGAGAGACAGAGACAGAGACAGAGAGATAGACAGATAGACAGATAGACAGAGATAGAGAGAGATAGAGAGATATATATGCTATATATTCTATATGTACAGTGTTTGCATTTTCTCTTCTTTGCTTTTTAACGTAAGCTGCAGATGAAAATTAGCCATTTGGCTGATTGTGTTTTTTTTACAATCACAATTTACATCACAATGCAATCAAGTTATATGCACGGTTCCTAATAAATAAAGTCTACCTTGTAATCAATGTTTCCAATTATTAGAGTGCTGCAGGGATAACATTGTTGCAGGCCAACCCCGGACGTTAGCATGGCATTGGTTCCCTCTACAAAAAGCCAATAGGATTATTCCATTAGACTTTGAGTGGCTAAATGGTTATGATGTTTACACGTTTTGTTCAGCAAGATATTCCTAACGTTGGGCTTTAACTGAACTCAACCACGGTGGCATGAGCTTGAGTATACACAACGAAGCAGTGCCGTCCCCTACCTAGACTAGACCGGCCCCTACCTAGACTAGACCATCCCGCTATGGTCTCATAATGAATCGAAAATAGTTCTAATCAGGTGGCTTGGAAAGGCCAAGGGGGGAAGGAAGCTTGTGGGTCCGGCCGTGAACTTTACAGCAAACCTCGCCGCTTCTCAGGGCTGTGCACTAAGTGTTCTCTGTGCATTCCCAGAGGAACATTATGTTGCATACACATTACGTAATTAAAATCATCGTGAATGTTTTATGTCTGTTAAAGCCTCATAGACTTTTAAAGATGTTTTTGGAGATGTTCTACAGGCAGCAGCAGAGGCAACATATCTTAAAAAAAAAAAAAAAAAAAAACTAAAAAAAACAAGGCGACTCAACTACCAAATGGTAGAAGAGGATAAAACGTAGATGTACAGAGCAGAGAGTGACAGCTGGCTGCGGTGGGGTTGAGAGTTGGGGGGGGGGGGGCACAAGCCTCCAGCAGACCTTTATGCACTAAATCTGCTTTTTTGGCTCCAGTGAACCACAGCAGGAGACAATGCGCTCATCACGGTGATTACCTAAGCCCATACACACAAGTCGTACGCTGTGTAGAACCTGGTTCACTTGGCTGGTGGTGAGATGTGGCACAGATGTGACACATTTAACGCTGTAACTAGCAATTACTTCTACCATGTAGAATGCATCAGTAGCACAGAGTACCGAAATAGTCGAAGTACCGGAAGCTGGCATTGAATCAGCAGTCAGATTTGGTATATACACACAGATATATATATATTTCATAATATACATATATATCTTGTTGTTAGTTTTTCACCATCCAGTATTCATGATTGCGTAAGTTCTCTCCGGGTCTCATTCAGAGGTCGGGGGAATGTCTCCTACATCTGTAGTCTGGGTGCTCTGTTAACTGTTAGCTGACTGCATGGTGTCTCTGTGAAGCACTGAGAATAACAGCCTGTGTTTATGGCTGAAATGTAAATACTATAAATAAGATGAGGTCTGGTGTGTTCTGGGGCAGATGGACTCACCCTCTGCAGAGTCACGGTGTACTGCTCCCACACGGTCTCCTCCATGACCGGGTTCTGTGGAGAGAAAGGGAAGATTACCACGGGGTAGTTTCATCACACCGACCAGATTAATAATGTATTACGGGATGAAACGACAAAAGCTAGTTCACATTAGCTTACACTGTCTTTACACAACCAGCAGCTCCCAGAAGAACAATGAGAAGTTTCCGCTGCAGCGCTTAAAACTGATTACCGACTGACTAACAAACTTCCGTCTCTTGTTGATTCAATATTGATGAGAACACCGTACATCAGTTAGCTTTCTCTCACAAGCACCCACACAAGTCAGGGAGAGTCTTCATGAAACCACTAACAGGTTGTAGAAATCAACCAGAAGATGCACACCTGCTAAACTTAGTCATTCAACAACCAAAACGCAGCACGGTCAAGGCTGCAAATAACTATTAGTTTGCTTTTTATTAAAAATTTAAATGACAATCTTTGTTTAATTAATTGTCAGGACTAACGAGAGATACTGGAGCACAAACCCATCTCTAGAAACTGGTTTTGTTGTCACACATGCTAAAAAAAAGAGAAAAGAAATTAAATCGTATAAAATAGAGAAAAACAAACATAACTTTGCGTTTAAGAGCTGAAACCAGTATTCTTTTATTTAATTTCAACTTTACATAATTAATGATTAGCTTCCTGATAAGCGACCAATAATGAATGATCCAATCAGTCCCTCCATCAGTCATTGTGAACTACAAACCAACTTCGGTCAAAGATATTCCATCATTTAAGAACAAGTGAAAAATTCAAAAACAAAGATCATATATATCTCACTTTTTCTACAAAACTCTACCATGGATTCAGTTTGAGTTTCACTACTTAAATCAGACGCTACCATCTCAAATTGTTGATTTTAGAACAGTTGATGCCACTTTTTCTGCGATTCTGGATGCCTCATTTCAGAACTCAAGTTATTTCTGACACTCATCAGGTCCATTCAAAAAAAACACCCAACACTACAATCACAGGACCAGTCAGGTCCAGCTGCCCCGGCCCCAGTACTGAACAAATCTGTAGATCAGAATCACACTCACGAGTCCCTGAAGGATACGTATGGTCTTGACCGCGTGGGCCCATTTCCTGTGCAGGCTGAGGACGGTCTTCATCGTCGTCTCTCTCCGTCTCTTCCTATCTGCGTCTCTCCCTGTTCACCGCCAGCAGTGCTCTGGCAGACTGATGTGCGCCACAGCCTCCTCCATGGCCACAGCTGCACAACCAGCAGCAGCTCTCTTCCTGCATCTGCCCGCCCGCCCGCCCGCCTTTGACGTAAGAGGGATTCTGCTGGCCTACATTCAGCACAAATCCCACCGTCTGCAGACAGTGTAAACACACAGACGCACCAACTTCTGCACAGGGACGCGGTGATCACACGCCCGACTGTTCATCCACAAAACACCACAGAAAATTAATCTCAGCACGCGTTCTGGGTTTGATGTCTGCTCAGACTCTTGAGATAAACCAGCCACTCCTCAAAGTTTTAGAGATGATTCACACGCACCTCGGCGAAGACAAACAAACACTTAACATGTGCAGATTGCAAATCTGAGTTTGTGACAGCACAATGGTCGGGATTTTAAATTGGTTTTTTTTAGTAACTAAAGTGAAATCTGTGTGCCGCTGACATCTCAGGTCCGGGCTTAGTGAAACGGGGGCACAACTGGGGCTGGCAGCTCACCCAGCATAACACACTTATTTGATCTTCTGGCCTACAAGGGAAACCCAGATGACTAGCAGCATCTGCTGCAGCAGGACGAACACTACAGAGGAGAGGAGAGGATCTTTGTTTTGGACACTTTGAAACGTCCAACCACGAAATGCTCTTGTGCCGACGATTGAAGGGATGATGGACAATCGTTATTGTTATACGACGATATTAACTAACTTACGATCAGAACTGAGATGTTATAAAACAATCTCTAGACTCTTTGCACTCTGTTATGCATTCAGAGATGTTTTTGGTGGAGCTGCACATCCGCCCGGTTAGTCAGCATAAGTGAATTTAAAATCGTTAATTAATCTCTTATTTTTATGGATCCGACACCTGACATCCATATGCCCGCTCTGCGCTTCATTAGAGTAGTAAACATTTTGGATAGGGCCGTACTGAATGTCATTTTATTTACATTCAATTTCAATTTTGGAAACGACAGCGCTATCTTTTCCCCCCACTACAGTTTGAATTTTGGCCTGAGACGATTACAGAGACAAGGAGCCTTATCGCTCGCTGTGTGTGTGCATTAGAGAGTCGGCCAAGAACTGCAGCAGAAGAGAGAACCTCTGTGCGTGTGGACAGAGGAAACATATTATCGTCTGAAAGTCTGACGAAAAGAAGAAGCCAACTGAAGTGCTTTGGGTCAAACCAGACACGTTTTAATGAGACAGTCTCCTTATACTTTGTAATATGATTGTGATGGCTGCTCGCAGGCAGGCCTGCTGGAGAAGTCGTCGCCTCCTGAGTGTTGGTCGTTACATAACAAGACACAAACACATTTCCACGGAGGGAGGGTTGAAATACTGGGTCATCCTCGCAGGCCGCGACAAATTATTTAGAGGAGAGGAAGACTCTTTAAAAAAAAAAAAAAAACAGAAACACAGAATGTGTGGGTGGAATTTACAAAAAAATAATAGGATGTTTGAGTCCAAGTACTTAGAGCTGCAGATAAGTATTTTTTTATTAACATTTAATCTACTGACTATTTATAGCATTCATCATTAAGTCTAGACTAAATGTAACAAAAGAATGTCCAAAGTGAGGCCTTATTGTCTTGTTTTATCAAATATTTTTGTGAAATTGTACAGAAAACATTGGAAATAGTTTGGAAATTTTACTGGACTGTGGAAGACGCTGAATTCAAAATAAAGTGTACGTTTAAATTAAAAACCGACATAAAATTAGCCATGGTATGAACAGAAAGAAAAGATGACTCGCTTTGTTTTCCTCTTGAATATCTTTGAATTTGCCAACCTCAGTACTCAATATAACAACATAACATATGAAGGCCATACTTTTGTAAATATTTGTTGTAAATCAGTTTGAGTCAATACATTTACTTTATGTCTTTTCAACTCCCAACAATCCTTCAAGGGCAGTCTGAAGGTTTTAATGTTTGTGTGCTGCTCGCGGCTGATAACAGAAAAGTTGCGCACGTCCGCCCCCTGCTGGAGACAGAGTCGCATTACACCATGAGGCACGAGAAGGAACAACACGTTAAGCGCACTATAAATGAGACAATGTGGTCAATTACGGGAGAGGTCGACATATCAGTAACAGTTATAAGTTCAAAGCAGCGTTTTAAACCGGATGCATTGACTTGTTCCTGCTAACTTAACGTTAACTAGCTGTCAGCTAACTTAGCTTAACATCACAGCAGGTGCAGCAAGATGCAACAGGCGTTCATGGAAACTCCCAAATAACTGCAGTTACTTCTCCACAAACACATGCATACACCGAAACAGGATTATAACAGTGCCATCATCCATCAACATGAGTATTTATGCATACTCTGATCTTTGCTATGCAGGTACTTACGGTGAAATACTGGGTTGCGTATCTGCTGAGCGAGAGCAGCCCCCCTCCGTTTACTGGCATCACGCACTTTGAACTGTAGATTCAAACTAAACTATTCAGACCTTCACGGTCGGATGTAGACATACGTTTTGATGAAACTTGAGAGTTTAAAGTAGTCTAAAAAGTGGTAAAGTTTCGTCTACTTTAATTTAAATATCGCACTTTATGTACTACAAACATTAAGAGTAAACATTCAGAGCAAAAACTAGCGCCGACGGCTCCTGGCTCGGTTAAGATCATACCAAATGTGAGCATGGGGGGGGTACATTTAAAAGCAACCGTGATAGAGGACAGCAAACTAAAACAACGTGCTATAACATCAAACTCGCTTGATATTAAGAAAGTGCTCCGTTAGTTATCATTAATAACGAACAGATGATCGCACTATAGACACAAGTGTAGCGGGGGCTTGCAAGTCTAATACCACCGACATGGATCCGTCCAAAATTCCCATTGATTTTTAGGAAGCCTGCTGTGAGGCTGCCAGACAGAGACAACAGATTTAATACAGCATACCACAGAACATAACAGAGAAGGACGTGCAATTTAAAAACATAAGTGTGCAGGTAGAGGGAATTCATCTGAAATGTATTTCAGACAAACACTTTGTGTAGCCTGCTTTACAGACGCAAAACAATGTTAGTATAATGTGTATGACATAGGCAAAGCTCTTAAAATTAAAGACCACAAAAGGATGAAACATATGCGTTTTACTGCTAAGCAACCATTACCACTAATACCTTTGACAGGGCAAAACAAGCTGTTTCGAATGTATCCTCTTCTCTTAATTCCTCACGTCTGTGGCCAAGACAAGAGGGAAATGCGGTGTAGAAAATACACAACATGGCCATTAGCGAGGTCCAGCACTGACCATAGTCGACGTTCCAGTTCATTCAGTGAAACCATTTCTTTATGGAGTCGCCTTTGTGCACAGGGGAAATGATGAAGCAGGAAGGGACCTTCAACAAAGTGCTGCAATAAAGTTGGAAGCACACTATTGTCTTAATTATCACTGTATGCTAAAGCATTAATATCTACTGGAACCATGAGAAACCACCCCAGACCAGAAGTACACAAATATATGTAGAGGTTATAGAACTATGTGAAAAACATGACATGCTCTTAGACATGAGCTGCTGAACCAAAGGTCTGGAAAAACTATGCCCATGTGCAGCTGTCCAACAATAAGCTATTGTTGTTTTGTGTGTGTGTGTAATACTATCCATTCAAGCCTGCCCTCATCTAGTATTTTATCAACACAGGACAAATCACATAACAACGCCAGCTGACCCCAAAAATGTCCAAAATCCCTTATACCACGTGCAATTTAACCATTTGCTTTCCTTATCCACTATTTTAAGAGATGACAAAAGCTTTTATGCTCGCAAAAAAGAACAGTTTATCCAAAATGTTTTTCATCGGCTGACATATCCGAAATAGGCCTTAAAATAGGCCATCCGAATGCAAAACGGCTTCATCGGCCTGAATAATGTGTATGACCAAGTGATTAAAACAATGAAGCTTCCGGGACATGACACGTCTCTCCGGTTAATCATCATGCAGGGTGCAGGAGGGGTCACTGAAGCGTATTTGTATAGAAGTCTGGGAAACACTGACTCAGGAAAACTCATATCTTCAAATCATCAGCATGTCAGAAGAGAAGCAGCCATGTTTTGCAGCTTACAAATTATTTTTGGATAAACCCCCAAAAAACACGCATTTATCCGTTTTTCATTTTACCCAGTGACGGGATTATGAAAGAGTTTCACAAGATTAAAATTCATCAAGAGAGAAACACAATCATCCAAATGATGTGAAATCATGCAAATCACTGAAGCTACACGGAGCTCTGAGGGTTTCAAATGTGAAGGAAAAGCAAAGTCTGAGTCTTCACTGAAACATCACATTGTATGTGTGAAAAACAGACATCATGAATATAGCTGCCTCATGCTTCCGTGTGACTGGATTCAAAATTAAAATCTCTAAATAGATCTGCATTTTTAAGACTGTAACACACAGCGAGGGGTCAACGGGACCACATGTACGTCGCTCCGAAAACAAAGCATCGACACTAAACACGCGGTCGAAAACGTACCATCGTAATAGCCGAGTAGCTGCGCGAAGAGAGGCGGCGAAGGTACAAGTACTGGGCTTCTCTGGACCAGCGGAACTTGCGGTTGGACTTGAGCAGGTCAGTGCCGGTCTGGTCGGAGCCAGGCTGGTCTCTACGCACACAGAGAGAAACACACACTTTTAAATGACAACTCTTTAATGCAAATGTGTTACACTTAAAAGTATATATATTGTTCAATAAGACCAAACATTCACTCTGAGGAAAAACCCTGATGATGTCAAAGTGATGTCATCAGGGTTATCTCAGCTTGAGAAAAAGTTGCCTTTAAGATGTGAGCATTTCCCCGTTAGAGAGGGTCCAATGAAAGACACTATTCCGTTGCCTTTGGGTCAATCAAAACAAGTCATTTGAAGATGTCAGCGTAGGCTCTGGGATGTTGGACATTTCTTCACATTGTTGACTTTTCTCATATCATCTTTTAGACATGTAACAAGTATTGGTATATGAGACACACTTTCACATTAAAGATTACAACTATCTACTTGTTGCAGCAGTAAAAAAACAGGCCAATAGACCAAATACTTCAAAGACCACAGGACCAGAAACAACAAAAAGTAGAGCTATAAATAGTGAATAAAACATTTTCCCAGAATTAAGCTACCCACGTACGGCGCCGAGTAAAGCCAGAGGAGACCCGGCTCACACAGATACTACCGACTGTAATAGTATAATCTGCAGCCTCACTTCTAACCTGATTACTAACTTGTCCCAACATGTGGAGTTCTCCACCCAGCTGAAACTACTGTTGTTCTCAACTACATAGCAGCGAGTCAGACGTGAGCTTTCTGATGCATTTGGATCATCTGACTGGATGCACTCGATACTGAGAAAATGTGTCCAAAGTGAAGAAAGCCGAGCGCCCCTGCATGACTAAACACACCCTTTACACATTCAGCACAGACTTGTAGATTCAGTTGCAGTGAAGTAATCCCAAGACATAAAAAAAAGAAGATCTAGACGTCGGGCTGGGTACGGCAGGATTAACTTCTTGCTCTTCAGCAATATGTATGAACCCTGTTATCTCAACGTTCCCATTGAAGGTTTTACTCAAGAAATTTAGTATTGCACTTTCGGAAAGTTGGGGGAGTCACAAGAGATGGATTCCAAGCAGCAAGAGGCAGATATCCCAGTCCCCAACATAAGTCAAGCTTCACAAACTCTGGATCCCACATGCTAAAACTCCATAGTGTCTTTTGTTCAACACTTCCTGTCTGGTAAACACACGTCTCAACCTTAAACTGAGATCATTTAAGGAGCAAAACCCAGGTATCGTTTTTGCACTAATATATCAAACGCCACCGACAATTTTAAACATCTGTTCAATCAGCTGTAACCACTGATCTACTCAATCACACTTACATATAATACATTATATCTGACCTCCCTTACAGGTGATGCAGTTAATTTAAACCACTTAAGTGCCTGTTTAACCTATTGGGCAATAATTCAATAATATTGTTTGACATCTTTCAGTGGAATCACATCTTGATGATGTGAAGATGGGTCGTGGATGTGGGGACGCACAATTGGTGCATCTAAAATAAGTTTTTAAACTACTTTTAGTAGTAGTTTATTTGAAATGAATGGAGTATTTATATGCAATGAACAGCAATCTTGATTTTTTTTTTTTAACATTTGGATGTATATTAGATTAGGTTCAACAGTACCAGTAAAACGCGAGGCAGTTTAGCACCTAATTTGACATTAGTGAACATTGTGCATATAGAGATAAAGATGAATGAATGTACAGAATGTAGAATAAAGCATTGGGGGAGTGTAGTAAGAAGGGATATAACTGTGATATATACTAAACACAAGATAAGATAAGCATCAGCGTATTGCACGGTTTACAATACATTACACAAGGAAGAGAGCCGTGTAAAGTATTTCGTCCAACTAGCATAGCAATCTAGTTGGCTACATCAATCTATAGGTTTGTTCTCGTAGCGCGGATCCGCTCGTCAATGAGGTAATGTGAAGTTTGAAAACAGAAGTAAGAGGACATTGATTGAACACTACGATCTCTGCGATTCGCCTGAAATGTGGACGTCTTCAGGATCCATCATCGTCCATCTCGATGCACAGCAGGGTAAACATCTTGACCTTAAAAAATACGGTGTCTCTCAAAGCAGTCAGGGCACCAATGTAATAAATCCCTGAAAGCTGTAGGTCCAAATGTATCAGAAGGGTCCAATGAAAGTCAAAAATAGTCAATTTGTCTTGATCCAGTCAGACCACTCAGAAAAGAGGGCATTCAAAACACTTTTCTTTTGTTTACTGCTGGTGATGCCCAGCATTGCAGATACTTTGGTTTTTATTTGTGCCGTTTTTTTGAGATGTCTTTATCTGAGATTTTGTCCTCTACTACCCTGGATTATACAGAATAATGGAGAGATTGTTTCTGTGAGGTTTATTACTCAGACACTGAAAACCTGGTCATATAAAACCAAAACTATCTGCACGACCACACACCACTTCTGTTTTACATTCATCTAAAATCCATCTGTTGCTTCCCTGAACTAGGCACTAACAAGGAACCATCATTTCTGAAACATTATCAGGATTTAAACGTAGATCTGTTAGAATTAAAAATCTGCAGCAGTTGTTACACTATGCAGTTCACTACTACTGTGCAGAAGCTTTCTATGCATGTTTAAAGGTGACGACACGATGTGATCCAACTCACCCCTGGGGTCTCCACAGTTTCCTGCCGGGCGGCAGAAGCTCCCGTTTGTTCAGGGGCACAACCCCTATGGCCGCCTGCATGATCGTGATGAACTTCTTAAACTTCATCGTCTAACTCTCCTCTTAACGGCGACAGCATCACACTGCTCCCACTGCTGCTGCTGCTGCACTCATCTTCTAAACGAAGTGCAAGACCAGTGGCACATTCGACGTCTCCACGTTTGCTCATCTCCTTTCCCGCATCCTCAACGCGACAAATTTGTCCTCGCCATGCCTACGAGCCGCGGCTTCAGGGCCCCGGAGCGGCGAGGTCCCCGCGGCTGAGCGACTACGAGTCCTGTCCCCCTTACTGCCGACCCCGACAGATGTCCTTTTTTGGCTTTTTCCCCGAGCGAGGGAGGATAAAAGGGAAACAAACGGCCACGTTCCAACCAGGCGGTGGGCCGGCCGAGAGAGGATGACAGCACGTCACTCTTACATAATTCTGGAGCTTCTCTGGACATTACACTAATGAAAACGTAGCCTCTGCCACCACCACCACCACCACCGCTGCTGCTGCAGCCACTGGAATAATTGTGGTACTAAGCCCTGACAGATCATGGATGCTCCCCGCCCCCTTCTCCTATAATCCCCCATCCAGGCTTAGTCTTCTCACCATTTACACCCAGACAGACCCATCTACTTCACCCTCACATCCTCACATACCTCTCCGCCAGAGCTAACCCATTATGGGGGTTTATTAAATGACACAACTACTACTAAAGTCATTTAAGCTGTAATCAAGCTGCACTTCAAGATTTCAGAGTACAAAACCTGTTTTCAGAGCAATGCCCTGATTCTGTGAACGCCTCGGTTGAAATCTGCTCCCATCAGTCTGCAGCTGCTCTGGTGTATTCTGACTCAGGAATACAATCTTATAACAGTATTTCTCTTTTTGTCAAACAAAATACCATTTGGTGTTTCCCTTTCATAACGCAGTCACTTCATAAAGACAATGTGTTATTCTGTGTCACAATATCAGACATCCCTATCCTGTCTGTGGCCTTCAGGTTTTTACTGAAGATGTAACTCTTTTAAAAGAGTCTCACAAATATGTAGTTTCATTTTTTTTAAAAGGCTCAGAAACTTTCAAAAACAACTGTTCACTGTAGTTATTAATAAACATTTCTCAAACTGGAGGAAACAGTGCATTTGCTGTGAAGTATTTTCTGCTGCGGATTGGTCCACATTTGGTGCTTTAGTGAGTATCTAAGTATGTGGGATTATATGAACATATAAAAGGAATGCTGCATGCATGTGACCCAGTGTAACAGTGTGACTCATTGATGTGTTTTTAACAACGGAGCTTTACGGCACAGAGGGAGAAGATATACCAGGCTGTGTGTTAGTCACATCAGAACATTGTTGGTTTTTCATGCAAAAAGAAAAATATAGAATATCACCAGACTTATCTTTTAAAACAACTTCACCCAGTCAACACAATATTTGTTAGATCTTACAATTCCTCCAGATGCACTTTGTCTGCCAAGGAATAGTCAACCTGACGGATTGTTTAACACTTTTACCCATCACCACAGTGTTACGATACCGATACCCGTATCGTAAATACCTCAGAGACCTGGTATCAGCGAGTGACTATGCAAGTTTATGGACTGATCCGATATCACGTTATCATATAATTTATCGACTCATTAACCCCCCAAAGGAACCACAACATGTGTCACTTCCTACATGAGCCGTACATACATCCTCATCCACACCGCAGCACAGATTAAACGTATCTCGTCATCCACGAGTCACCAGGCTGCCCTGCCTCGATGAATTACCAGCCAAAGCGAACTCCGGACAGGATTTATATTCCAGCAGCTTGGATGTCTGGATTATGGCTCTGGATGGTCGTGTCATGAGATCTGCTACAGATTTTACAGAGCAGCAGAAATCCCTCAGTACTCTGAAGGGCGGCTGAGAGCAGGAGCGCAGCAGGGGGGGTGGGGGGGACACAGAAATAACACACTTCTATTTTTAAAAAGCATAACAACAGCACAAAAGGATGAAGACAAGGAGAAGGGGTTTTTTTTAAGTTCACCCTGTGTGTCGTCTGTGTCAGAGGAGGCCGGATTAGGAGCCTCCTCTGGGCTGAAATCACACTGACATTCACAGGCGGTTTTTATCATAATCCAACACCTTACAGTAATCTCACAGAGAACACTCATCCTGACAGACGAGGGTGTGTACGTGTAGGGATGAAAACAAACATTAACATGCGCACGAACACAACACACGAAGGGGCACAGCTGTGCAGACATTTATCGTTGTGAGTGAAGGTGTCAGCAATCTATAGACCAGCAATGTTTCTGTGTTCTTCAACCATGCTTGTTTCGCATACAGGGGTCATTGTTTTTTAAAAAGCTTAAATTATAAAAAAGAAGAAAGAGAGTGACTCACTCTTTTGCCCTATTCCTTTGTCACTGCATGTTTTCACTATTTAATGAGAACGTCTTCTATTTTCTTCTTCTTCTTCTTTTTTGAGCAAATGTGGCTGGAGCTGTTTGGTCGGCCTAATGCTTTTACATAAGCAGTTTGTTTCTCTGACCCTCAACACTTCCCCACGTGTTGGAGTGGCGATGAATTACTAAGACCCAAGACCATTATGCAATGTCCATATGCAATGCATGTGCGAGCCAGATGGAGGGACACATGCCACTCACACATCTGTGATGAGAGTGCAGGAGAGATTGACAGGCAGAGGAAAGAGAGTCAGTGTGTGCACGTGCCCACCACAGGTATAATCTGGATCATCAGGGTACATGTAGTGGAAAAATATATACATGCAGTTTTGCATTAAACAAAAGCCTGTTGTCCTTGCTGCAGTTTTTTTTTTTCTCTTTTCAAGAGTCGGTCAAATGAAACAATGTAAATTGAGGAATGAGAGAGCAGCTCAGCTTAGAGACTGAAACAGTCTTGTGGATGGTAGGTCAAATAGAAGCAACACAAAATACTTCCTCCAAAGTGATATTAACGTTGAATCATCACTAAAAGAATTTCAACAAATACTGAACATCAAAACCTCCATGAGGGAACGATTTACTGCAGGACTGTTGTATTATTAGACAGCATTAGTTTTAACTGGTGGACCTAATAAACTGGTAACGTGCATATTAAGGTAGGGTAGACTAAATATTACAAACCTTTATGATAGTATAGGGAAATATAGTTCAAAGGTTATATTAAAATGCAACACAAACAGTCTCCAAAAGGACCACAAAGTTGAGAACACAACAGTTCAAACTAAAACCTTTGATCACCTCCATGCTGTTTTTGCCTGTAGATTAATCAGGTAAAGTGGCAACTGAGTGAAACCAGTAACTCCTGTTGTCTATACACAAAGCTTCACTTCAGTAAAGCCAGCTTACTTTACACGCCTGGACTTATGTTGGGATACTCTAAATAAGTTGCACCGCTGGAAACCAAATGTGGCTGCCCAAACTGCTCGCTGGTGCAAGCCAGTAACAACACACACTGAATAAACAATAGCTTTCAAGCAGCAGTGCCTCCTGTATTTACACAGGAGCGAACACAATGCATGAACAGAGAGAGGACACACACACACACACACACACACGTACGCACGCACGCACGCACGCACGCACACGCACGCGCGCACACACACACACACACGCGCGCGCACGCACACGCACACACACACACACGCACGCACACTAAGCAGCACTGAGGCCTGCACACACTGCAAGTCACATTCGTCTAAAAGTAACCCGATACAAATGAAAGCCTGCTGCCCTTAAGAGCAAATGAAATTGTTGTTTATTACTTTAACCGCCAAAATAAACCTGTGTGGCTATAGTAGGCATCGGTGTAATGCCCTAATATGGTAATGAGCGCGACGAAACACGGTGAAAACATGTCGACATTCAGGTCAAACAAAACACGATCTACTTACCAGGTGAAACTCCGTCTGTTTCCTGTTTTTTATGTGTCCAGAGCAGATTAAGTCGAAAAGTTAGGATGGAAGTGAAGGATGCAGAGGACGATGAGGATTACAACGCGACGAAACTCTGGTTAGTATTTCGGTTTCGTCTGGTCTAAAAGAAAATGCCACTTCCTGGTTCTCGCAGGTATGTGGGCGTGTTTTACCAACAGCAGGTGTGCTATGTGCAGGGCTGCAGCCACAACTGTAGTTTCAACATGTGACTCCCTGTGGGTGCGGAAGGTGGTGACATTCTACTGAGTCACCCATCCTGTAACCTGAACGTGACACGATGACTCCGTTTACTAACGACAAATCAGATAGTAACAAAAAAAGGCTTTTGAATCTTCTGTACTAGAAAATTAATCACAAAGCTACTGCTCTTCATCCAAGACTAATGGGGAATCTGTAATTAACACCAGTAATTAACAAATAACTTGTTGGGGGTGGCCGGAGACTTATATATTATTTGAAAATAATGACAGCAACAACAACGTAAAATTAAAATACAATAAAAAAAATCGAGAAAAAAAAATGTCATGGTGACATTTTCTAATAAATGAAATGGTGGTATTATCACTTCCTCTACAGAATTTGACGTTTTCACATGTGTTTCACAGATAGAGGACCACAGGTGACATGTTATAAAGCATTTTATTAATTGATATCTAACTGGACAAACAAAACAACAAAAACAAACCGTCAATAACCTGTTTAGAATACAGGTATTTAATTTATTGATCCTTAAATGGGCAAAAGAAGAATGTTCTAGTCTATAAATAAAATTGATTCAAACAATGAATGATAAACATGATAATGATTAATATCTTTCTTTCCTCTTCACCTCAGTTTCTCAACTTGTTTTCTTTCTTCTTACAAATCACTTTGAATACCAATGCAAATACTCACTGATAGTGGCAATATTCATCAACCAAATGGTGCCACCATGCGCACACATGTACTCTATTGTTTACTATATTACTCATGTGAACATGATACAAAAGCGACCGGCGGGCTGGGATTTCCGTGCTCGTCTGACTGGTTTAACCTGTTCAGGTTAAGACCCTGGACAACAGAGAAGCCCAGTAAAAGCTGGCAACACTGTCAGAATGAAACTCAAGTCAGCAACAGCTCTGATTCTCAAACCAGCCACAGTATCATGTAGTGAATTTGAGTAAAAGTTGATCTGATGAAATACTATGGTTCAGAGGAGAAACAGATACACAAATTAAATCCCTGAACAAATTCTTCAGTAATGTAGATAAATGTGTTTTAAAGTTTTAAGTTTCACAAAATGTAAATCCGCAGTTTAAGTGCCGACTACAGATGTTTTGATCTAAGTCAGATTTAACCTAAATCCTCTAAACCTGCAGTGTTGGCTTCACACTCTGCTCTGTAAAGCCACCAGTGGGTGAAGACGGACACAGGACATTACTGCACATCAGATATTAAATTGAATCGAATCGGTAATTTTATCAAGCAGTCGGCCTGCGAACCAAAGAGAGCTCATGTGATCAACAGTATGCAGTAGTGAACAGGAAACACGTGCATAAAATGCAAAGTACAGGAACTTAGATTCACCACCTATGTATCCTCATACTGTAGTATATGATTGTATCATTTCTGCGCCCCCTTGTGTTTAAATATAATATGGCAACTGATGTTAGCGTTTCATTGTCATTACAGATACTGCAGTGATTTGTTGGGTATGCATGTACACTAAATATTAATTCTCAAAAAAGAGTGAAGATATAGGAACATAATTTATGAATTTATTTCACAGATACAAGTTCAAAATATTGCTATAATACAGTTGTGGGCCTATAAATCACATAAAAGCATAGATTTACAAACATTTGAAGGCAAAAAGAAGACAGTTGATAAAAGTACAATATGGTCATTATTTACCTCCAGGATTCAAAACAGTTGAAAGCAGGCATTAGTTTTAATAAATCCCAGTGAAGATGAAATGTTCATTCTCTAGTAATGACACAGGAACGCAGCGGATTCTACATACTTGAAAATAGAACAAATTAATAATTGTCTATTGTAATATTAATTTATTGTTTTATGCAAATTGGGATTCTAAAATGAGTTACACATAAAGTTTATCAGGGTATAAACTCTGTTTTACTCATATTTGAATGTCTCAACAGAAGAATCTTTCATTCAGATTCCTGACTCCTGAATGATCTCAAATCGACTCGATGTAATTATATGATTTAAAAACAACAGAAGTTTTTCCCCTGTAGCTGATTAAGTTACAAGACAATCTATTTCCTCAGGGATCCAGCCGCTGAGAACATTTGCACGGCAATTCAGACATCCAAGAGGGGAGGTCAAACTCAATTTTCTTTGTTAGCACTGTTAAATTAGCAGCAAAGTGCAAATAACAAGAGAGGAAACGGCATCATAGTGTTTTATAGTAATACAGTGGTTCAGTGATCTTAACACACAGAAACACAAACTGTATCCCCATCTCTTATTCATGGGATTTCTAATCAAGAGCCAGTGATTTGGCATATGTACTTTGACTAAAAAAGGAAAGTCATAGAGGCACAAGGTGATGCTCACAGTGGTGAAACTGACATCAACATGTTACTGCTTGTAGTTTGTGTCACATTTACACTGCTGTGGGGTCCTGATGTCTCGACACTGTGGGACTGGGAGGTCAAAGGTCAGAAGTCCAGGTGGCTCTTCACTAGAAAACAAAGAAAGGTTATTAGTTCCTTTTGTCATTTAGGTACCAAAGCACAACAGTTGGTGTTTAGAGTCAAACTAATTAACACTAGAACATTTACACAAGGCAAAATGTTTGAAGAGACATTGTTATTTCTATTTGGAGAGTCAAACAATTCAATTCAAACAAGCTGTTTTTGGATGATTTAGCAGCCCAATTATTCAAAGCAAAAACACTGGATTGTGAGCACATCCAATCCCAGTTGTGAAAAGGTGCAGGACAAAAGTAGCATGCAAAACTAAAAGAGAGGTATTCTGCCTCCTGTCAAGGTATCAGGGCTCAGGTCAGGTTCAGGGTTCGTTGATTTATAAAGAAATTTCTCTGTCTTGACTGTTTCAATCGTCTGTGTCCATGCGTGCCATGTGTTGACAGAGATGCAATGCTGAGTGGGAAGAGGGAAAATGTTGCATTAGCCTGGCATGCTAATGGTCAGTAATAGATGATATAAAGCAAAAATATAGCTTTAGGCGTCGGATCAGGTTCTGGTCTCAACTTTGTCCTCTGGGTTTAGTCGGGTCGGGCAGAAGTTTTGTTGGAGTTTTTTTTTAAGTATTTCTTTCCCCCTTCAGGCTGCAAATGGTTTCCATAGACATGCATGGGATACCGTCAAAGGGAATATCATATATATTTTAATGCTCAAGCAAGTTTCATGTATTTACACGTTGATTTTCATACCTTACTAAAATAACTGAAAACCAGTGGCCGCCTGAGAGGAAGGAAACACATATTCTGATATTTAAAACACTAAGATAACTTTGGGAAAAGGGTCAGCAGTAATGGAAAGTGTATGTAATTAGTGATTCATTGGGTCAAATATGCAAAAACACTGTTATGGTCCTTTTTGGTTAAAGGTTAAAAACAGCTGGGAACCAGTTAAAAATAAGAGTCAAGAAGACATATGGCTGTCAGAGAAGTCCAAGGCCTAGATTTCCCTTTAACCCTCACTGTACTTTAGTTTTTTGTCAGAGGCTTTCAGATCAGATTAAGTCCAGCATCTGCAGGCTTCCCACAGAGCCTGAGTAGAACTGCTTAATGTGGGCTGAAGAATTGCTTCATATACTGTAAGCCCGAATGAGGATTTATTGGTTACGTAAGAGAAGTGCTGTAGAAAAGGGGATTCACGGAGGTTTCTCAGGCTGACACAGACTTAAGGACTGAGGGGCGTTGGGGTGGGGGACGTTGCTCGGCTGAGTCATGCAGTATTGACATCACAGGATGCCAGTGGGGCCTCTAGTACACAAGCGCTACCACCACCGAAGAAGAAAGTTCCAGGAAGACGTGACAAATCGCATGCTGCATGCTGGGACAGCGGCAAAAGATTATTCAGTGTCTTCTGCTGATGTGAGTCATCATCAGGACCCCTGTGCTTTTTGTTGATGCATAGGCAGAAACTGTCTTTTTCCAAACGAAAATATATATAACAAAATCAAAATGGGTGTCATTGGCTGCTTACAGTTTGTGGATGCTGGGACACAAACGACTGTTCAACTCCAGCTGGGTTCCCTGGGTGAGTCTGTGTGACGCTGAAAATGCAGAGACACCCAGTGACCCCTGGATTCATCATGAATGATGTCACCAAATACACTAGTGCAACAAAGTACGAGGCCCACTGTCCTAATCGTTTTAGGGAAAAAGTCATGAAGTTATGAGAATACAGTTGTAATATTACAAGAATAAAAAAAATCTTAATATGTTAAAAATAACCATTTGATAATTGTATTGTAAGTAAACAGGTGAGAGCTGTCAAAATGAGGGAAGAGCTGATACTAATAAATACCTCATTATTCACCCCAAAAGAAACAAATCGAGATCATTTCAGATGGTGTTGTGCAAAAGTCAGAGAATTTGGGAAATGCGCTGTTTTGCTCTCTTGCACCGAGATGAGGATATTGATAGCCAGCAGCTGGTTAGCTTAGCTTAGCACAAAGACTGGAAGCAGGGGAAAACAGCTTGTCTGGTTCTGTCCAATGGTCACAAAATCCACCTACCATCACCTCTAAAACTCACTAATTAAGTTATATCTTGTGAGTTTAATGCATAAAAAAACACAAAGTGTAAAAACAGCAAGTTGTAGTTAAATGCTAGAGTTTGAATTTGGGGATTGCAGTGACTTCCTGGAGTCTTATTATCACCATGAGTTCTCTCAGAAACTTGTTTTTTGTACAGGTTAAACAAATGAAATATAATTATTGAACTAAAGAGGTGCTGGTATAGGCAGATTAGTTTACCTTTAAGGGGAACCTGGTTAACTGTTTCCCCCTTTACTTCCAGTCTTTTTGCTAAGCTAAACGACTGCTGTGTAGCTTCATATCCAGCACAGAAATATGAGAGGGGTATCCATCTTCTCTAACTCTCTGTAGGAAAGCGAATGAAAGACACGTTGGGCTATTGCTTCAACAGCAGTGTGAAAGTGTTAGAACATCAGTTCTTCCAGCAGGCCTTCAAAAACTCATCATTTCTGTCTTGAAATACAGGTTAAAACATTTGCTCACAGGACTTTATGCTTCAGTTTAAGATATCATGACTTAAACCAATGCAAAACACTTCAGGAGTTTCAGCCACTCTGCTGGTAATAAAGGAGAAGGTTGAATGATGTATATTGATCAATGCCATGTATTTAAAATCATTTCATACCAAATAGACGTCCAGTTCAGAGTCTGACTGGCTCTCGCTGAGAGACGGCAGAGGATCGTCCAGAGCGATTGTTGAACTGGAGGCTCGCCGGGCTTCACTGCAGCATCGAAATACACAAAATATTCAGTAGTGTAGAGAAATGAGCAAACTAACTTACTTTCTGCTCTATAGCTCCACTTTTGATGACATTTGGTTTGTAAGGAAAATGTAAACATACGGCCATTTTAAATGACTAATGCAGTGGTTTTCCCTCAACTTTAGTCACCCTGAAGTTAAATGAAGGATACAATTAAACCTGAATTTCAGAATAGGATTTTTCTTTCTGAATTACATTCAATTGAAGTGAGTTCTCCACAGTCATTTATATAATTTTTATTTTGTATTTATTTTGACCACATGAGCCCTTTTGCAAGAAAAATAAAAAAAATCCTCCATATAGACTGTAAAGGATGCAAATAAAAAACTAATATATTTTTTTTATATTGTCACTGCTCAGTTCAATACCGGCTTCCAGCCTTTTTGTGAAGGTGAAGCAATCAAACATTCTCAACTTTCTCAATTCTTTGAAATCTGACTAAAGATACAGAACTTAAGTGTAACGTACCTGTTTTCAATGTCCTCCTCATCGTTTCCTGTGGACTCAAGAGAAACTCTCGGAAGGAGATCTGGTTGCTTGGAGGAGCTGTAAACTGTTGTGACAAGCAAATCATCAATAAGCAAATCAAGCAAAGCCTCTTAAAACATTACAAAAATGTCTACGAGAATATCATGAAAAGCATTCCTTACGCTTACAGTTTCCATCCAGGTTGTCCAAGCTCTGGGCCTTCTTCTCATCCTTCTTCTCTTCCTTCAGTGGGGACAGAAACTCCTGAGAGGCAGACTTTGCCACATAGAAGGAATTCTTCTTCCTCCTTGAAGACGCTCCTCTTAAGGCTGAGGGACACGAAGAAAGAGCGATTTTTCACTAATCTCACACTTTATGCAGGACGAAGAATACAGGAGTTGTGTTAGCTCAGCGACTTACGATGAATCTTTTTGAATACGGTCGAGCCCATGAAATTCAAAAATCTGTCCGCATAAAAACTGGGCCTGTGAACCGACACCGTGTCCTGAGAAGCAAAGAATGCCGTCAGATACACACACACACACATGAACGCGGTTGTATGGACATAAAAACACACAGATGAGCAGTTACGTACCCCGTCATGTACAAGAGCTTTCCAGGAGTGTTCCACCTTCTTGATGAACCTTGAAGATTTAATAATAAATAGATTAAAAGCATTTAAAACATTTAACAATGTTATTTCTAATTAATTGTTTGATACAGAATACTTAAAATTAGGCATAACGAAATATTTTACACATTTGAATGTGATTTCATTTAAATATTACAATTGGTTTAAAAAAATGTATCCAAATAAAGAAATGTGTCCGTGCACATGAGAGAATAAATAAAGACTAAAGGTGTGTACAGTGTGAGCTCACCTGTAGGACTGAAGAATGTCGATGATTCCCAAAAAGATGAGAAGGTTCTCATCTTTATTTTTGGCAGGAATTCCACCCAATCTGAAAAAAAAGAAAGATGAGTTGACGACAAAACAGAAACGTCATGGAATTTATAATTTTCTCATTTTGGTGAAATAGTTAACAGTACACCTTTTTTTAAAACTTGAAATGGTTGCTATAATGCTGTCAGCAGGGAAATCATCCCCATAATCAAATTGGACCGGATCACACTATTGTGGCAAACTTCTCAACAGTCAGCTTTTGTTCATGGCAGAGCAGTTTGTGTAAGAGAGCAGAAGAAAGAGCAGAAGAAGAGACCGACCTCATACAAACTTTAACAACAGTTAAATGTTTGGAGAGTTTTTTAAGCATATTACTTTACTTCACACTATCAAACACACCTTTCCATATGTTTGTAAGACTGTTACCAAAAATAGCTTTCAGGTAGCTGCTGTGACGTTAAAAAAACAGTATTTTTCTGTATTACGTGCCCCCAGAGAAATGGTGTTTACACAGGAAAAACATTTTCTCACGTGTCGTCATCAGCCACCAGTTCTGGGGCCTTCGCGTTCCCCTGGATGGACTCGAGGGCGGTGGAGTAGAGGACTTTCTGTCCCTTCCTGCTGTCACATCGGCTTTCTCTGCTCAGCGGCTTCCGGTCTGAAACGTGAATCCCCAGCAGGAGACTGTAGTCCATGATCTTAAAGCTCTCAAGGACCTGGCGAGAGACGGAAAGTGGACGTAAGCAAAAGCAAACAAAAAAAAGTCATAATGGGGCTGACAAACCTGTCCCGTTTCATTAACAATTCATTTGAATGCTTATTTTTTTGTTAGTCAGAATATCCTCGAGCTGTCTCTCAAAGGCAGCATCAAACATATTTAGTACGCATAATGACATCTATTTCAGTGAGAAAATACCACATATGTTCATGGTTAGATTTAGTATATGCCCTCTTGCTCATATACTCACTGCAACAAGGGTTGTGGGTCAGAATAGCCAGAAAAGCATGCTGGTAAACTGCAAAATGCAACAGGATGCAGAAGGACATCCTGTTATTTTTGACATTCTGCATTTGGCATACTATGTATTGAGACATACTAAATCTTTTTCTGACATACAAAATAGTATGGGATACAGAAGGTGTGGGATACAGCTCATCAAGCGTGACCTCTGACCTTAAACAAGCTTTATATTGACCTGTCCCACACCTAAGCAGGTCCAAATTATAAGGGCTAAACCTTGATCTGCAAAACAAAAGTACAACACAACATAATCCTCAATCCCTCTGACTAAACACTGATGTCACGAAGTAACTCCTGTAAACAAAGAGGCCTTTACTTTCCACCGTGTTACCTAATACAGTAACTGAGGTCATGCAAAGAGGCCCAATAAGAGCATGTTACACCCCAGACGGGCCACTTCGTGATCCGGAGTCCAGCTGCACAGCCTGTTCATACAAGTCAGGTGCTTCGCTCCATTGGCCGTTAATCCTTTATCAAGTGACCACTGTTGTTTCACATTCATGGAATAACAGGCAGGCGCTAATGAGGTCATGATAACAGCTCATGGTTGCATAATGTTATCTAAAGGGGCGGAGTGGTGCCCTGATCACTGGCCGAATTCAGTTCAGGCTGAGAGATTTAAACCCACTGTTAGGAAACTACTGTATTGAGCTTTCCTTTTGGACTCTTTGTAACAATCTTGTACTTGGACACAATAATGTATATATGCTGTGCGTACACATTGAAAAACCACCCATACTAAATTCAATTTCTTGTGGTGACAGACTCTGAGATACTCTGCACTGTTGCTGAAATATGATGACACTTTGAACGGAACAGACATTACCCAGAAAACCAACATCATGACCTACTGCTAATAGATATAAGATCGTTATGTGAACACACCCGACAGTCCCTCTGCAGGGTCTTCATCAGGGCACTGTAGGTGTCCGGGTCGAAGTGCAGGCCATCGTGCATCTCCTGGAAGTCCAGGTCTTTGAACGTGGGCGAGGATTTGACGCGCTCTTTGCGCGAGGCGCGTCGTTTGTACGAGGAACCCTTCAGGTCGTACATGTAGTGCATCTTCATGGCGCGCGGCAGCACGTTGTTCATCACCACCACGCGGACGGTGACGCCGCTGCACTGGATGCAGTAGAGGCCGTAGAACTTGGGCAGCAACGTCCTCGGATTCTGATTCAGATTCTACAAGAACAAAGAAAAAAACTTTCAGGATAATATGTTCTGTAGAAACGTACATACATTACTAATGCTATTGTTTAGCTTGTAATCAAGTCAAACTGCATTTAGGTCACATGAAAGTTGACAATTATTTTAAAAATTGTTGGTAGGAGGAAAAGTGAAGGATTTTTACATTTATCTCTCAATTTAGAGGTGCCCAGTGAAGTGTTTTTTGGCCATTAGTAGTCTTGTTTGTGCAAGAAGAAGAAGATGCACATATAATACATATTCCTGCAGCGGCTTTCATGCTTTTCCATTGATCGACCGTTGCCGGTGCTACCACACAAAGGCATGTAGTAATGTGCAAACAAATGGAAGGAACGAGTTTTAACTACAAAAGCACATCATTGGCAGTATCATGTCATAACGTGAAAGGTTGAGTGTTTTAAAAAGATATTTGCACGTTGTTACAACATACAAATATACTATTTATGACGTGATAAGTATAAAATTAGGTTATTAGGTTTAGGTTATACTGTGATGACTTTTATTCCTATAACATAGAAAGTTTGAAGATATAAGTTGGTGTCAGGCGGGGGTGGACTCCCCATAATATGTGACTTGTATAAGGAGCCTTCTGTGCCACAGTGCACCTTTATGTCCGAAATGTCACTTTTAGCATGTTTGCTAAAAATATACGCTGGTGTGCATGTAAACACAGAGAGAGAGAGTTTGTGTTTGAGGAAGGAACTCACCATGTAGTAACCAGGAAGCAGCTTCTGCAGGAACTCGGCCTCTTTGTGCTGCACCGTCTTAATGATGAACTCATCGTCACTGGTGAGGTAGAACCAGGAACTGCTGGCGCCGGGGTTGGCCAGCTCGATCAGTGGCTCGTTACACATGGAGTACTGCAATTCAGAATGACGCAACAGTCTTAGCAGGAACAAGTATTGCAATCGCATCAACAGAAACTTCCGCCACATCGTGCTGAATCAGAATGAAGCTGTGAATTTCCACACTGACCAGGTAGTCGTCTGGCTTGATGCCAAACAGCTCTCTGAAGTAGCGAAAGGCCAGCGGTGCGTACGTTTTCAGACGGAAATCTGGGTAGTGATGTGCTGGAGTCAGGTTGCTGCCCTCACTGGAGAACAGAACAATATATACATATGTACGTTAGGAAAATAAAAACATATCAATGCACAATAACAGAACAGTGTACAAAAAGAAGATATTTGCACATGGTACAGATGTAAATGATATGATTAATGATGGCTAAAGTCCACTCAGCTTCTTCAGTTTCAGGGTCCTGCTATTGTTCATGCTGGCTCACTTTCACACTGTCATGGCTTACTGGGACACTTGAATAGACCAGAGCCATTGTTAATGCTATTAGTAACACCGACGCTTGATGTCAAAATGCCTGCTGTGAAAAAGACCAGTTGCTGAAATGTGTGGTTATCTACCAAACCACAAGCAGGGTAATCCGGTTGTAAACTTCCAAAGAAGTGACTTCATTTATTTCTTAACATTAAGACAAATGTATGCATGCTGGTTACATCTTTATGTATTTATGCAATTAAGCTTGTTAAATAGTTGGTCATATTTTATTTTATGGATCCCATAGTATCTTAATAATTTCCTGAAAAAGGAACCTGTAAAATTAAGCATTACAAAGTATTTGTTTAGGTTAACAGTAAGATAAGTTTGTCTTTCCTTTTGTAAATATAAAAATTGCTCTTTGTTGAAAACTGTTGGAAATCATTTAAAGACAGAGCAAAAACACGTAGACGTGTAGACAAGTTTCAATTCTTCCAGCCGTACAAACACAACAACCTACCCCTCCCTTTCGCTGTGGTGAACCAGGGACAGATATTTCAAAACCTCACCAAATAAAACCAGACTCTCTGAATGTCTAGATACCAGTGAACAAAAAAAAGTGTAAAAATGAGAGGCCTACCTGGGCAGGAACACGCTCTCCACCACAGAGAAGTCCTGCATGAGAACATCTCTGTCCGGTTTAGAGCTGAGGTTTCCCACAGCATAACCAATACCCAGCTGAATGGCTCCTTTCAGGGCAGCTGCCGTGGGCTGAATGGGAAGACGAAAACATATATGTTTGAAAAAAAGGAATCAACTAGTTCTTCTATTGACAATTGAGACCAGCTCAACTTTGTTACGTGTCACGCCACAAACTGCCTACAAACTAAACCTTTCGGGCATCAGTTTGTAGCTTCATGTCACCCGCTTCTATTGAAAATGACTCGTAGCTTGTTGCTGTGTTGCTCATCGTGTGAGCCCAGCGTTCAATAGTGGGCCTTATCCATAGTTGCTGAGATATTTCAGTCTGGACCAAAGTGGTGGACTGACTAACAAACTGACTAACTCTACATTCCTAGAACAAAACAAAAAACATTTGTGATAATTAATAAATTAATTTGTTAATAGAGAATCAAATGTTTTGATGGTAACAAGTCGACAAGAAGCCCCTGATAACAACAGCAGAAAAGTACTTTAATACGGAGACAATTTGACCAAAGCATGAGGTACCTAATATAGTATTGCTAGATACAAAAAAGTACAGTACGTGACATTTTTCATTGATCTTATAAAGTAATTTCCCTCCAACAAATTGAAACTGAAGATAATCAACCCAAGCATCTCTTTCATCACCGCTCTTTCCCCTCCATCACTAAACAGCTGTTACATAACTGACCAACAAAAACAACATTTAGCTGCAGGTGTGGTGTTGCTCTTTGGAGCTCTCATACGAGGAAATGAAAGATTTTTTTCCCTCTTCACATTTCTGAACAAAAAAACGTTTTCCTGTCTTATAGTATGAAATATACTGAGAGGTTTTATTCTCAGTCTCATGAATATTTAGGAGGTAGATAAGTCCAGTGCAATACACTGTAATATGTTGTTCTTAGTATTTGAATGACTTTATATAATTATTTTCTGTTTTGATATCAGCAATGATTCTGGGAAAAGGAATAGTCACTTTCTTTAAAACAGGGGATGTTTTGAGATATTCCCTTCCTTGGAAAGCATTACACGACTTAATACTGACGTCTGCTTACCTTTTTATGATCCTTTGACGCTTTAGAGGGTTTGGTTCCTCTTCCTACACTGTCTGCGGTGGCAGTTGACATCTTTCAGACTGAGAGAACTTGATCAGAGGGAAGCTCAGCAGTCCTTCCTCCAACTGTGAGGCTGACTTCCTTCTTTCCTCACAATGATGAATGACCAGACGCAGTAACTCAACCTCCAATAGGCTTTACCGAAACTGCATTTTCCAGGTGCACCGCTCCTGTGTAGGTGAGTTAGAGAGAAGAGCAGTTACACAACATGCAACATTTGCATGAATGTCAGTGCAGAGCCTATTTCACCTAGTCATAACCTGCTCTTCTGAGGTGCAGGGGCATTAGCATTTTAGTTTTTAAAACAATCTCTTCTACAGTTTGTCTGTAGAACACATATGACTCACAGAGTCTTGAAATGTGCAGACCTCTCTGTCCGGGGCACTGCTGAGTTCTGAGGGACCGTCAGTGTTTGTTTCAGTCTTTAACTCCAGAATCCCTCCCAACAACCCCTGATCCTCATTAGGAAGGATTGGAAAACCATTACATGTCAAATTCCCCTGTTTTATAACAGTAAGCAAAAAGGGCTTAGTGTGTTGTTGCTCACGTATGTCTGCAGAAATATTGCTGGAACAATCCATGTGTTCATGAAATTAAAAACATTTCCTCCTGTCATACATTTGCAGGGGGATAGATTCAATATCAGTCAATGTAAACAACTCGTGGAAATGAACTTTAACTGGAGTTTGCAACATTTCTTTGTTCTAGCATTCTGGAAGCTCGAGAAAGGTTTATATAAATAATAACACGTTATATATAAAGACAGTGCTGCTGGGGCTTGCAGGATCTACAGAGGCCAAATCAGTGTCCAAAATGCTTTTAATTGGTCATTAAAACTTATTGATGACTTATTATACCAATCAGGTACGTGTATTGGCAAAATGCACTCATCAAGGAGCAGTACAGTTGAAACTAACCACAAGTGGTATTTAAAAATGTTTGTTTCGCTCAAAAAAGCTGTAAAGTCCTATTTGTTTTGTTTATCTTTTGTCTGCCTACGACATTGCACTGATATTATTCCGTCTGTTTAGTTCCGCAAAGAAAATAATGCAACAAAATTTTGTTTTACACCTTTTTGCATAATGCCAGACATTTTCTTCTTTTACATTATTACATTTTTTACATTGTGTTTAAAGATTTCTTTAAACTTATATAGTGTGCCTCACATCTAGTTCCTCGCCAGCTTTTCCATAAAGAAACGTGCACATTTGTCTAAAATCACATTGACTTTTCTCATTTTAAACAATTTCTGCATACTTTCAGGGACTCATTTGTTTTTGACCTCATGAACTGTGCAGTTTTAAAATCTACCAAGTCAATAATTATGGAGCTCTTTTGAAGTATAAAAAATGGATTTGGATTATTTTTACGTGTTATGTGAAGTAATGTCTATTATTAATAATCACTTATAAGTTCAACATCAGCTATAAGTTATCTAAATCTGTCTAAAGGTTGCCAAAGATGTTGTGTTAAGTGTAGCTTAAATTCCGATGTAGTCGAACAGACTCTTAAGAAGTTTCAATTCTTTTCCACAGTTTCAAATCGTTTCAAATTATTCACAGAAAAAATGAAACAGTATCTACAACAATAAAACATTTTTGTTTATGTTTTGCCAACCTATCATTTATCATAAACACTGAATCATAAATAAACAATAATAGGCCTAACACTGAGCCTTGAGGAACTCCACAAGTAACCTTTAATCATTTTGAATTATTGTTATTTATCTTAACATATTGACACCTAATTGTGCAACCCGTCTAACGACACGCGCGTGCTGTATTTACCTGGCTACTTGGGTATTACAGAGAGTACCTGAGTGCTGAAGGTGTTCTTCCTAAATTGTTTGTTTATCTTTAGGGCCTGTACTGGCTCAAATTACACAAATGTTGACTTGTGAAACATAAAAAGTTCTTTGGAAAACATCTTATGTCTCAAACAAACCTGCAGATCCTAACAGACAAGCCCCTGTTTATTTTATTAAAACCGCCTCAGGATGTAGAATTGTGGTCTGACTCGGGGAGAATGAAACTGTTTCATGAGGTTCATGATGAGGAGGTACTCAGTTCTCCACGTCGTTTGAGTGATTGAGTGGCTGAAGAGATCACGAAACCTGCTAAAGTTGAATCTTTCTCATAGAGAGACTTTGTGATTAGTGGCTATAGAGTGAATGGGATTAATTATATGTACGTAGAGTCTTTGACAGTTCATTTCAGGTTTCCTCTGCAGCACTTTACATATTGAAATCACACAGAATGACATAACAGCTCAATGTGGCTAAAAACATGTTGGATTAAGCATTCATAAGAAAATTAGCTTTCCATCAGCGTATTAGAAAGATTAGTTGTATGGCTTCCCATACAAAACAATGACAAAACATTCATTCTTAGCCTGCTAATTGCTGATTAACAACCCTAATATAAGACCGCTAAATAATACTAAATAAAATACAAGACAAGCATTTAAAATACAACATAATCCATTGTCAGTGGAGACGGTCTTTCATTTTAACATAAACTTAATATTATCGCGATCATTCCATCAATGAGGATAACTCTAAATATTATAGACACCTCTCAATATAATGCAATGCAGTTCAACAGAACCACATACAGCTTCCAAAATGACTGTAAAGTTGAACCAACACCTTTTGAAAACATTAGAACCTTTAACATTTTGAACGTTATGGCCATCACAAAGGAGGATTTATCACAGGGCTGTTGAAGATTGCATTAGTTTTAGCTATAGGCTGTAGTTTATATGTAACTCAGGTGTACTTAGGTGAAAGTTTAAACTAGCACACTCGCTCGACATGCACACTGCAGCTCTTTTGCATACATGTAAACGTTGACAACCACTGCGAGCTTATTGCAGACATTTTACTTTCTCTCTCTGACATTAAGGGAAGTGGAGCCCTTTATCCTCTTGTGATACTATCATCAGTCCATTTTCCTCCTGAACGACACACAAACTGACACTATAATGATTATTTGTATTCGCAACAGGAAATAAACCACTAAACCCTACAAGCTTAGGGTTAAACAGACAAAAGTAAAACAGGCCGCTCCATCCTCACTTTATGGTAGGGTTGGCAGGAAGAAAAGCTGCTCGGCAGAAATGTACGCTCTCTGCATTCTTACCTTAAAGGGCATTGTGGTATGATCACAGTGAAGATTGCAGGTCAGTAATACTCCGATGTGAACTCTGTGGCAGACTGAACTCTGTGTTGAGATGGGGAGCAAAGTGCTGCAGCAACTGTAGAGCATCCTCACCACTTCCTTCCTTCCTCTCTCTCTCTCTCTCTCTCTCTCTCTCTCTCTCTCTCTCTCCCTCTCTCTCTCTCTTTCTCTCCACCTACCCGTTGCATTATTCCTCAGAAGCTACATGAGTCAGACTGAGTTGTAGTTGTTAATATTGCTTAATAGAGGTCTGTGGGAGAAAAATGTTAGTAAGACCAGACGCTATTTTCCAGACCCTTTTTATACTGTTTATAATACTTTTAAAATTCTAAATTATAGTTTTCTGTCATTATGCAACCTTTATTATTATTAATATTTTTTTAAATGTAATCTCTATTTAATCAGGCATCTCATTGAGATACGGATCTCTTTTCCAACAGAGAGCTCAGAACAAGAAACATTCAGCAAAACAGAAGAACACAATAAGACAGGAATTAAAAACAGTTACAAGAATCATAAAAACCTATTATGCGTATTACATGATATCTAAGGTTAAGCAGTTACTTCATTTAAATGAGAGAAGAGATGTGAGGTAGTTTGGAAGCTTCAACAATAGAGCTTTATAAGTGAATGACATGAGATGACCACTTCTTCTTGACTGGAAGGCGGTCCATCCAACCAACCGTGTGGCACAGAGAACAATGATGAGTCTGAAATTTTTCATTTGTGATAAAGCTTAATTTGGTATGATACACAGGGTTAAAAGTTTTGATCGGGCAGCATGAAAATACAGAATATCCCCATCGTCAGGGACTAACATGAAGGTTGACTGCACAACAGTTTTACAGCTGGAAGAATAAACATCCTTTAATTCTAAGAAGCCTTGTTTGATTTTTGATCTTTTTTGAGTCAAATGTTGAATATGAATCATGGATGACAGGAGATAAGTATGTGTATGAATCAGCAAGAGTAATGTGCGTGCCATTTAAAGTTTTATGGCACAAAAGTCAATGTAATGTGCATTTAATGTGTGAAAGTCAATTATGTATCTGATGAGTATGGTGAGAACATTGTAAGCTGGCTTACCTATGAATTTGGGCATGGAAATATTAGTTTACGATGGTTAGTGATATTGTTAGCTTAAAGAGAGAGAGATGAGAAATGCCATGCAACACTTCCTCAGCTGGACTTTAATCCTGTGTAATGTATGTCCGTATATTTACCCATGTACTGTGATTAAGTACAATTTTGTGGTACTTGTACTGACGATAATAATGAAATACAATGCATTGTTTAAGATTAAAATCAGGGGTTCCTAATTGTTTTGGCTAGTGGCCCATTTAAAAAATAAAGTTTCATTTTAATAAGTGACCCATTATTTCCCAAAAACGCTGCGAAAAGAGAAAAGTCCAAAGAATAAATAAAGGTTTGTGTAGTTTTTCCTATAGTCATCTCACGACCTCTCAGATTCATCTTGTGTCCCTGTGGAGGGGGCCCGGCCCCTAGGTTGGAAACCACTAGTCTGAACTACCTGACTGTAAGTGAAAGAATGGACAATCTAATAATTCAACATACTGTATGACAACATGTAACTGATTATACTTTTACTTAAGATTTGGAATGCAGGACTTTATATTATACTTATAAAAGAGTATTGTTACATTTGTCACAGCTGGTGAATATAGGTAACAAGGGAAGGAGCCAAAGGCAGATGAAAGCAGGCAGGATCAGTTTGGTAATTTAATGGGGAAATTGCAAAAATTTAAAAGGCCATTAGGTAGGCAAGGGTCAAAACCAGGAAGGCAGTCTGGACAGGCAAACTTTTCAAAAAGTGTTGGGCAAATAATTTAGAAGTCAAAGTATCAGGCAGAGGGTCAGGCAGGCAGGTGACAAGGATCCAGGAAACACACATTACAAATGTTCGAAAGCAAAAGCACGAGGCACATGGCAGCTTTGACAAACTGGTGAGGAGGGAGTGGAAAAGGGCTGATTACATAACTGCAGGGCTGATGAGGAAAGTGGGAACAGGTGAGTAGATGGGCGGGGCAGTCAGCTGATCGGGATAGAAAGAAAAGTCTGAGGGCATCTGGTGGATGGATGGGAAATGGCAATGACGGGGCCTGGAGAATATATGCATGTGGCTGGAGAGGAGGGACAGAGACAGAACATTGTTGTATTGGTGCTTTTACTGATCTGACCTCTATGACCTACATAAGTTACAAAGACCATCAGCAAGAAGATTGGATATGACTATTATTCTTAATGCTTGTCACGGGAGAACCAGAACCAGGACTGAGCGGAGCAGACAGTCAGATCCTGCTGCAGCAACATGAGAGGTTTTGTAAAGGGACTCTGGGGCTCGGAAGCACTACTGCGTCTGACCACAGGGACCGTAAAAATCAACAAAAGTGGTAGCTTTAAGTGAAGGATGTGAGTGCTTCTTCCACCACTGACGTGAACCAGGGACTTCTTGAGTACATGATCAGCGACTTAATCATTCATTTCTTTTTCAGATTTTGCCTGATGAAGATACATTAGGTCTGAAATGTTTGACTTTTTCAGTCCAAAAGGTGAACAATTGGCAGGCTTAAGGTAAACAAAAGTGCAGATTGTAATGATGAATATCTATTTTCATGCTCTCGCTCCGACAGTATGAGTCTCTGTACTGTGTATCCCTCTCTTCCTCTGCCTTTGTCTTTATCTCACTTCTGCTCATTTCAATTCAAATGAGCTTCAGTGACATTATTAGCATATTGTACATTGTACATTGAACACGTGCTGCATATTGTGAAAGCATAAAGGGTGTGGACTGGAACAAAAGAGAGAAGCTAGACCCGGACTGACTGTTCACAGCTCTAATGACACATCTTTGTGGCGGCAGATACACATCTAATCAACAGAAATGTTCTCTCTGGTCTCTCTCCAGGCTGCTCATTAGCTCCCTTATTCTTCCCCAGAGCCGTGGCAAAGCAAAACACATGTTCATAGGCGCTGAGATCAGTGTTCACTTCAGGGTGGCACGGTCATGTCATATTCTGCATGCAGCATAAGCCAGACACATATTGCTTTTGTAGGCTATGATAAGACACTGAATGTTTTTCATGTGTGAGGGGCTCGTGAAGTCATGGGAGCAATTTTAAACAGACATGCACAGAAAGTGACGGCCTGGCATATAAAAGAGTTTCCAGATACTTGTCATTTTAAGAGCACACATGTCAGTGTTTCACTTTCACCTCTAGGGGGTGCCGTTGCAGCTTTGACACACCTGCCAAACCCTCCAATTCCAAATGGATCACTTCCTATTTCCGCCCATATACAGTAACACTGCTGTACGGTAATAATCTGTACTCATCTGAGCCCGCTGTGCACTATCTTCCTGAATTCTTTTTTCTTGACTTACTGTATTTCCTTTGTTGTTTTTTTGCACTTGCTTGTGTTATTTACTCCTAAGAATAATTCTCTATTTCTCACACTATCTTGCCGTCCTTGCTCTTTTCCCCCACTCCCCAGCTCTCTCGTGTAAGTGGGACAGAGTTCGAGTTGTTGGAGGTTTGTTTTGAGAACACCAGAAGGGACAGGCTGCCCGCGAGTCGGTCGTCAAGACGGTGACTTTGAGGTCATCAGATATCAGCTCAGTCCTCCAAGATTCAACACACGACCTTTGTCACATTTGGCTGCAAGACAGCTGTGAGGGTGCAGAGGTGCTGGTATGATGTCCCTCCCTACATATACCTCACTGGGCATACACCTGGGTTCAGTGTTCAGATCTCAATGAAGACCCCCCCCCCCAGCGATTAAAGAATGTAAGAATTTGTCACTATGTACGGACATAGCTCTGAATCGTTTAGATTTGTGATAAGCAAGCTGAATACATGTATATATGGTGTTTTTTTCCTCCTGATTCCAATCCAGTTTCTTTAGTATAAAGCATGTGCTGATGCTGATACTGAATACAAACAAATATCTACAGTATTTTTTTATAATATGTTTGTTTATTTTGCAGCTGCACAGTCCATATTTAGGCGATATTGAATCTAGGGTCACCTCCAGTAAAGTCAAGTCTGAACACTCTCAGTCAACTTTGGCTCAGTCAGCATGTTGCTGCTAATATCCTGACAAAGACCAAGTCAACTGAATACATTATACATGTTTCATGCCATGGCCTACATTACTGTTGCCTGTCTATACATCTTTCTGTGGTTTAGGACCACAATACATCTGTGATTGACTTTTATCATGTGAACCCTCTCTCTGTTAATCTGATTGAAAAGGGAGAAGTATAGAGAAGACCTTCTCTATTTTTGTCAACATTTTTATACCAATGATTTTATTGTATTTTTAAAAGCCTTTAAATTGCCTTCGTGTATGGAATTTGCTAAAAAAAAAAAAATTGTTGAGCAAATAAAAATGTGTTGGATAAATGAATAGCTCCATTTTCTGAAACTAATGTAAAGCTTTCCTTCCAAAACCTTGTCAGACTCACAATGGACAACATTCAACATTGTTTTGAGACCTACATTACCCAAAATGCAACCCAACCTCTGACAGTTCCATCAGAGATTCATGTGTGAGTACAGTAGTGGCTAATGTAGCCTTGAGCTCTAGCCTCAAGCAGAGCTGAGGAGTATTTTCAAATGTGTAGTGTTCAGAGCCAACTGAGGCTGACTCAAGCGACGTCAATTGAGGGCATTTATCACACTTTGCGTATGGAGCCTGGAGCCTGAGGTTGAGAGCTATACTGACCTATAAGGACATTTAAATAAACATGTCCGAAAGATGTGAGGTTATATAACGGTTATACCGTGTTATGTCAGGACTTTCTGGCTCTTACTCATTATTATGCCAACGTAACTTTTGATAAAGGCCGCTCCATGTCCTGCTCCACAACAACTTTCCCATTTCATTTGATTGTGTTATGTTGTGGCACATATGACCTGCGTGTAAAACCCATCATGTTTAAAGTATGACATTAAAAACCTAAATTAGTTGTGATGTACTTCTAGGTGCTGAAACTCTCAGAGTTGTTAGTCTGAAGGTTTCTTTGACTTCAGTGTGCGTCTGTTTATCTGAGTATCTTCACAAGGCGTTTCACCACCACCGTCAACCACGATATTGTGGAAGTCGGGGTCACAACACGATGACTCAGGAGCAGGAAAGTTTTTTATTTTTTAACCATTTTTTTTAAACAGAGGTGTGTGTTGTTGAGGACGACACACTGACAATAGTTTTCAACACAACTTATAAGATAGTTTTCTGTTGTCAGAGCTGAGTAGGTGTTGAAGAGCAACCCAAATGTGTATTTATCTAAATTAGAGGCACATTTGTTGATTGTGACACATCCTTTTGTGCAGTTTATTTTGTCAGCTTTATAAAATCCTTCTCATGGCAGCTTGCGAGCGGATCAGTTCAGAGCGACTGTGTTGATGCAGCTGTGATCATCGGACACGGTCGGAGCCAGAATCTGCCCTTAGGCTCTTCGACACCTAAAAGAAACAAACAGAGACAAGTCATAAATGTTAAAAATGCATCATTGTTGATGTGAACCTGGCTGTAGTTTTCCACGGTTAAACTAAATCTATATAATAATGATATAATAATTATTATTTGTTCTTGTTTTCCTTCTGGGAGGTCAGAGGTCAGGCTTCAGTTTAAAACAGCATTTTACACGTATACAATCCCTTATTCACTACAGTTATGGTCATTAAGTCAGAGAATAATATCTGAGCTTCAAACCGCAACGTACCCGTTTCTCCAGGTGGTTGATGTGCCGCATGCTCCTGTCAATCATTCTGTCTCGGGCTGAAACCTCTGAGGACAGACTGGCGAGCCATCGGGCCTGCTTATCGATGATGAACTGCAACACAGCAAAGATGTCAAATGGCGAAAAGAGACACATCGGTCGCTTCCACTAAAAGAAACGCGTGTCTACTAAAACACAGAGACAACCGAAAAACACTTAGGTCTTTATTTGCCCTTTGTTTTCGGTGTCACCAGGACAAATACCTGTTTATTGGTGACATTTTTGTTTTTTTGGCTCACCTTCACTGAGCCGATGTGGAGCTGAGTCTGATCCCCTGACCTCGGGTTGGTCAGGCTCTTCACTTTCTGGAGGATCCGGTCCGTGCGGTGCTGCATGGCTCCCTGCTCCCTCTCCAGATCCACCAGCCCCTTCTGCAGATCTCTGGCCGCCCTCCACAGCCTGTCTCGCCTGGCACTCAGTGTCTGCAGGTCCTTCCTCACCTCAAGGACAAAACGTTGTTTTTCGCAGTATTTGTATTTTCCTGATACAGTATTTCCCCCGGTCTCACATTCTACTCTTTGAAGAACTTTCATTGACTTTATACTTGTTCCCATTGTAGTCCCTCTCTCTAGAACAGCTTTAAACCAGCAAAGTTTCTGGCACAACCAAATTTATCAGATGAAATCCCAGGTACAAGGAAATATGTAGGAATAGATACTTGCTATAAAAAATCATGGTTTCATCAGTCAATCAATCAAACAGGTAAAAGTTTGGAGGTTTGGCCATTGTAAGATTGGATTTCTCCTCACCTGCCTGTGAGTCCGTCCAGCCTGTAAACTCTGCTTACGAAGGCTCTCGAGACTCTCCACGGCCCCGTCCAGCTCTGCTGCCACCTGCTCTCCCTGCCGCTCCAGCTGCTCGGCGCTCTCCACCAACCCCTGCAGCAGGTGAGCCAGTCCCAGCGAGAGCATCCTCAGCTGGCCCACGGGGACCTCACCGGCCTCCTGTGATGTGGAGGGAACACCTCGTGGAGGGGCACGGTGGGCCTGACATAGTCCCACCAACAAAAAGGACAGCCGCAGCGCTCGGCTCACCCTCATGCTCCAGGATTTCATCAGGTGGGGACTCTAAGTCTCTTCCTGCCGGTCTACAGATCTAGATCTTAATTCTTGAGAGGCCAGAACCAGATCGGATCAACATACCAGATATGTGGCTTCACACAGGGGCTGCTGCTTAAAAGCTCAGGAGAAGAATCCACATCTGCCGGACCTCTAGAGTCCTGATGTGCATCGAATGGATCCCTGAGGAGGTCTGGAGCTCAAGAGTTATAAAGGATAGAGGGATGAGGAGAGGGAGGAGAGCCAGAAGGAGACGAGGGGGCAGTTGCCAGACTGATGCATGGACTATGGAATAGGCAAATGTAACAAGAGCTCTGAATATTTTATTCAAAATAACCATCACATATGCACACAACACATTATTGAATGATTCCTCCATGACGGATTAAGGGTTAGATTCTGTTGCTAATACATGCTGATAAAGTTCATAGTCTGAAGTGAAAGCTGTAGTAGACAGTAGTAAACATTTTCTCCTCAGGCAAATGAGCCCGTCTTGGATTTATACATGAAAGTAAAGCATGATGGACATCTGCTGGATGTTTGAGGAGCTGCAATGAGCTTCTTTCTTTCTTCTTCTTCTGGGACTACTTCTTCTTACAATTCAGTCCTCCCTTTAAGCCTTTTAAAACATGTTCCTGTAGTATTTGCTATGTTGGTATTATCTCTAAATAAATATGTTTATTGGAGCATTTCCCTCAGGAGTTGGTGGAGACCAAACCAGAACTAAAAGGAGAGTGAATATTGAACTTGTATGTATCAGGTGGACAGAGATGTGACTCCAATTGAATGTTCCTCCGTGTCTGCTGGATGTGTATATATAGGTTTGCTAACAATTTTGCCACGTCAACTTATTAAGGTGATAATATGTCAGTGTTGTGTTATTGCTGGTTTAAGTTTGACTAAGTTTGTCATACTTGGTCTTGATGAAACTGGAGTAAAATGTCCATGATTATAAACTAAAACTGATCAAGGATGAAGTTGGTCTTTTGACCTCAGGAAAAAATAATAATATCAAAACAGAGTATTCAACCTCTGCACGTCCTCAACCATATAGGCCCTGCTTCTTACAGTCAATCTTTTCAGCTGCTATGTTCCACTTTCTTCAATAGCTAGTCACTCAATGAGTCTGTCTGCAGTTTGGTGTACAGTGAGCAGGGCTTGTTTGCCTCTGGAATTACGGCCAAACAGTAAATCAAAATTAAATCAAATGTCCTGCCAATGAAGCGTTGTTGAATTGACTTTGACAGAGAGAATTTAGGGTACAAAACGTGACTTCCTACACTCAGACTCAGGCTGAATGAGGTGCTTTGTGGCAGCGAGGGCCAGACCAACAAACTGTTCTTTGAATTGTTTTGGAGTTGGGGCAGGCCTAATGCACAAACGACACTATGTCAACTCATAAAGGCTGATTTATAAAGGAGAGAAAGGCGTCAGTCTCAGCCCACTCCTTCCTGGCATTCAGGATACACACAGAAAGCTGCAGGGAGGCGGCGTCACTGCATCACTGCATGAGAGAGGCTGTGGACCACAATATCCAGTAAGTCCACATGATTTTATCATTTTAACAGACATTTGAATATTTAGGTGAGTAAATGAGTGAAGGATTTTAGGTGAAAGAAATGCATTAGGAAATGTTTAAAGATACTAAAGACACTGTTGTCAGATGGAAACCTTGCATCTCAAAATAACTGCCTTTTTCAAAAACTAAGAAGGACAACTTTGTTCTCTGTTGTGTGCTTTCTTACATAGTTAGATGTTTCCATGTGCGTCAAATATGGCTCTCAACCCATTCGCCAGAATAAACTGTATGTAAAATTACATTTAGGTTTAGGCAACTAAACTTCTTAGTTAGGTTTAGCAGAAGATTTTAAGGTTTGGGATCAAACTTGTTACTTTTGGTTTCACACAGTACATGACAAATCTCCTGTGGAAGTCCCACATTTGACATCCATCCACCCCACCCTCCTCTGTATGTGGCTCACATTTATGACATGTAAACAACAAACGCAATCCGGGAGGAAATACGTTCCTTCGAACCAACAATGCAGTTTAGTTGTATGGGAATGTCATTTTTCGGAGACCAGGCTGTGGTGCTGGCGCCAGCAGGCGATTAGCCTAGCTTAGCATAAAGGCTGGAAACAACTGACAAACTGCTGGGACTTGAATTTTAGGGAGTAAATGTACCAACCCAACATCTTTAAAGCTCATTGGCTTTAGAGGGAGTTGTGTGCTGTGGCTATATGTTGTCGCCAGGCTAGCTGTTTCCCCTGCTGTTTTATGCTAAGCTAGGCTAATTGCCTGCTTATTTCTGACAGCTGAGCACCGTGTGGATAAAAAATAGTGAGTCAAGGGGCTTCATTTGATATTTTTTAAAGGAAGTGTGGACATGTTCTTATCACTGCTGTTGCAGTTTTGTCATCTAGGACATGACTATCTTGTGTGTTCATGCATGTGCACATCCCGCTGTCTGAATATACATTGAATGTATCCACTTGTGTGCGTGTGTCTAGTTGTGTGTTGAACACGAGCAGAGTGAGATGGAGGCTGAGAAGCAGTGAGGCCGGCACGCAGGCATGTATGTGCTGATAAAAACGCTGTCACATGATCTCACGGTGCCCCCAGGCGCTGCTGGTGTCCTGCATTTTGGTTGGAGCGTTCAGTGTATGCGGAGAGGGGAGTGAAGCCCTGTTTCCCAACATCACCAGGGTTCTTTTTTTTATCGTGTACTAAATCATTTATTTCACTATATTGTTTCAGTTCATCTACTACCGTATATCAGCAGAGCAGATCACGACCACCTGTCACAATCCTTCTTTGACTCGTCCTTTAAAGTTACCCAGTGCCAAACAACATCTCCTGCCCTTTAAATGGACCACATGAGCAACTTCATTTTGATCAGTGAACGATGGGGACAGCAGTGTGGATGACAGCTTGTTCAAGTTTACCCATCTGGGCCTCTGCTACTATTGTTCTATTTCATAAGACTGCTGGAGGAGTGAACATTCAAGTGCAAAAAGGTTTATTGCAAAGTCAATTTAGTAAAAATAACTCATTTGAACACCTCTTTCTATGGGTAGCCTACACCCTTTTATAATGTCTGTGTGCATGAATTAATATACACATTTATAATGTGAATAGAGAACTCTGCGTCATACTCCTGGCTCACCTTAGCATAAAGACTGTCAGTGAGCTGCAGATGTTTGCAGTCATTGGCACCAATCCCTCTTGGAAACCATGTGAAAGAATTTCAACACATATTACGAATTTAATTTATGATCATAATATGTGATCTGTGATCTGATAGCCTCGTTTATTGCTCAATTGTGCAAGTGTTCTGGGAATACCGCAAAACACATTCAGGAGTTTGACGAGATCTTTCTTCACTTTTTCAAACTCTCTTTTGTGCTTTCACTGAGACCTCCAGCACATGCAAGCACGTGCCAAAAATGTGGTTGGTTTGGCTCGGCTCTGGCAACTGTAGTGTGATTCAGGGCGTGACAAGATTGCACCGATAAGCAAGTAAAAACAGGGTTTGGCTTCAGTCAAAAGAGGGAACTGTAGCTAAAAAGGGCAAGCAAGATGTCATAATTGGGAGCAGGTGTGGAGGTCAGGTGATGGTCAACTGGTTTCCAATTTTGAACCTCAAAATGAAAGACATTTTAACACACCCACACATATTAGAATTGACTGTAAATCAGGACAGTAAGTCAATCTCAAACAAACAAACAACTGGAGCAAATGGAGACAGTAGATGTGATAATCACTTACTTTCTATGCTGCTTTTACATTCACAGTTGTTTTTGCAACTACGAGCATTTTTAGGGCCCAGAAGGGACATTTTGTATTTATGTTCCAATGTGTCATATAGTGCTTGATAAATCACAGTGTTATTACATAATCTTGACATAAAAATAATTGTGTGATTTAATAAGATTTATGAAGTGGTAATGTCCCACAACTGTGGTCTCAATATGTAAAATGAGCGAATTCAATTACGATACGACATTATTTCAAATTAAATCGTTTTTTATATTATAATATATAAGTTAACACCATATTCAATTTTTTTTTGTTTTGTTTACTGATCTTTTTTCTTCTTAATGTGCTTGTCCCAGACTTTTTTGTCTTTACTGAACAAATGCCACTGTAAAAATTATAATTTCAAAGCCGAAAGAAAATATTGTTTTTATAACAACAGAAGTTAACAAGTTAGCACGTGGATGACAGGTTGGGCAACCCACATTATATGACCCTCAAGAGCATGAAAAAACGAGGTAAAGTTCATCTTTTCTTCTGAAGTATTTATTGTGTGTCGTATCGATAGTATTTACAATGATGCACAAAACTTGAAAAAGTGTCTTTAATTCATTTTGAAATAAAAAAGGACAATGTACACATTTAGTTAGTAAGAATAAGTGCTATAAACCATAAAAAACATGTTCCTGATTAAAATCCTAACCACTTTATGCAATTGTGTGTACCTGTACTGCACCTGATTGTTAAAATCTACATTCATTGAGGTTGATTTTAAAAAATGTTTTAATTTAGGGGAGTCAAAAGTGATGGCAGTTGCGGAAACATCCTCATATATTATCACTCTAGGAATGCAGGAATCGCTATTATGTTTATTGTAACAATAACTTCTATTTATAAATGTATTATGATTTGTGGTATGTGTTAAGGCAATCCAGGAATTTAAGCCTGTTCTTCCACCACGTTGCTCTAATGCTCCTAATGCAATCTCTCCGTCACCGGGCCTCCACCTTTTCATAAAGGCCCCACCAAGTCAAGCATGATTTTACCCTTGACTCCCTGGGGTTTGGAGGTCAGAGGTAGGGTGACTGAACAGCTGGCGGCGATCACATGCCAACAACGTGCTTGGTATGTCCTCCCTCTGTGGATCAAACATGTACAAACTGAAACCCCAGCAAGCAGGATCGAGCATGTTATTGTAGTGTGATTCCCATTAATTAAGCTCCAGCGGTCACACGCCCTCGCCGTACTGCGGGGCCGTGCTATAGCGTGAGCCTGCAGCGTGCTAGGTTCACTTTTAGCGTGAGCACGCTCAAACTCAGAGCACGATATCTCTGGCAGGGATTGGAGTAAGGCATTCATTATAAAAATCATTTGTGTGACATGAGAAACTGGGATGACTGACAGGTTTAAGAGGCAGCTGTGGAGCGCAGCTATGAACCATAAATCATCAAAGATTAGTTTATTATATTAATTGATTCACGGCTGGCACCGTATTTCAATCATCGTTACTATGCACTCACACTGTGTCTCTGCATTAAAGAGCCAGACAATAATCTGAATGTTAGCCTGCTGAGCTGATTGTGAAACATCTGATAGTTAGCTTCGGGCTCAAACTGATAATTTGAGTTCACTATCAGCCCTGTAGGATCATGTCCTGCACATGCAACCTGCAACCTGCACTGCACCGCCAGCACCATGCATGTGGGCCTGTATATATGTCTCTATATGTTCTTAATAAAAGCATTTTTTTATATAAGATATGGGACTAGATGAATATGGTGCTTTGCTACAGTTTAGATGTCAGGTTAGTTGTCTCTAAGGCTGTGATAATTACTATTTCTATATTAAAAACATTACATTACAAACATTTTAAGGCAACAATTCTCAAACAGTATATAGGCTCTGTAAGCTGGATTTGCATGGAAGCGCCCTCACCAGACAGTAATTGACTTTTCTTCCTCTTCTTCTTGCATTTCTTCTTCTCTTACCCTCAGAGTACAGCCTGGAGTAGCCGCTTGCTGGGGACAGGAGTCTTTCCCTGCTCATTGGGTGGTGTGGGTGGTGCTCCCTTGCACCAATTCCTTTCACCAATAAAAAGCTGTGATGGGAGCCAGGGCCCCGCAGACACGTCACACTGCCTCTCGTCTCGCTCGCTGCAGGAGGAGGCACATATGCATTTGGCTCGGTGATGAGACGCTGGAAGTATTGCTGGTATGTGGCGGCAGAATCATTTGGCATAACAACGCTCCTTAAGGTATAAGAAGAATACCAACTGTAACCCAAACCCTTACCGATTATGAATTCAGTGCCTATAGCTCCATTCAGGACAACGCTTTCCTTAGGGAGGCTGCAAGTGTGCTGCACTTAATCTGAGTTAGGGAAGTAAACCTGACATACATTCTTCTGGGTCAATGTATGAAATATGAATCCATCTTACATTGAGGTGGAACTATAAGACAAAACCTACGCCCCTTGTGTTGTTGACTGAAAATCCAGCTTTAGCTGCATGCAATTTACAAACGTCTCAGAGCCACAATTAATCCTTAATGTTTGCAGGTATTTATCAGACTAATTCACTACTTCCAGGTCTAAATCTCCACACTTCTGAATTGAGATAGTAAACAAGGCAAGAGTAAAGGCAACAAAGAGACAACAGCTGGAGGCAGAAAGGGTTTTTCTCATTTTGTCCAATCAATGACCGTTTAAGCTCGTGTCCCCCAGAGTGCCCTCACACCTGCCAAGAGACTTCTCTACCCAGCAGAGCGAAGGGCTGATTATCATTAGTTACTATCAGAGGAGCACGCTGTCACTTTTTTTCTTCTTCTTTTTTTGCAGAGCCAGACTTACTCGGGCCTCTCTGGAGTTCCTGATATAGGCATAGTAGTTAATGAGGGAAATACCCAAAGTTAAACCGAGCATGGGAGCCTGAGAGGGGGGAGTGGGGGCGGGGAGGGAGGACCGGAGAGAGTGGAACGTGAGAGAGAAAGTGGCAGGAGAAAGAGAGAGAGATGACGAGTATACGGAGGGCAGAGCTGCGAGTCTTCCTGGAGGACGGAGTGGTGTCTCTGCTGTGGCTGTGCGGGTCTCTGGCATGATGATTTGGGACAGAAAATTTAAAAAAAAATCACATTGCCAGGGATTACGACACTGCTGCTGCGTTTGCTACTGCTGCTCCCAGAGCTGGAGGAGGATACCTGGAGTGTAGTTTTTTTTTTCTTCTTCACACATTTCTACAATAGGACTTCTTCAAGCTGCCAGTCTGCAGATTCACTCTGAATGAATAACTCTTCTGAGACAAGATGGAGTGGATTAGCCTGTTTTTGTCACGCCGCGTGTCTGATCAGGTGCAGAGCTTAGTCGACTGCTGAACAGGGAGTCTTAGCAATTTGTTCACAGTGGCTAAGTTCTTCACTTGTACAGAGATGATGAGGGTGTATGACAAAGAATCTGTAGTTCCTCTCTAATTGAAGATTTATGCTCAAACTGTAAAAAGTGACATTTTCTTTCCCTTTGCTTTCTTTTAGCTTATGAATATCTGAAACATTCAAGGATATGGCAGATGGCAATATTTGATTTAGTGTCAATTGAAAAAGAGCAAAGCCAACAATGAATTGATCCTACTAACAGGTATTGTGTGTGTATCCAAAGCCTGATATCTCTTCTTTCACTTTGCCATAGAGCTCCATTGTAAAAACAAATCAACGAGCCACTGTCACATGTTGGTTTATTTTAAAATCGATCCCACTGCCTTGCTGCTATACATACATATTCAAATGTGTATTAATCCGCAGCTGAAAATAGTCCCTAACAAATGCACTATTAACTCCCGTTTGAGTAACAGTAGCTAAAAACTACAGTGCCCAGCTTTTTTTAGCACACACTGAGCCTTATGGAAAAATGAAACTTTGTATTTGTATTTGTGAGGTGTTGTTTAAAGACTGAGTGGCACAGACAGGATAGGGAAGTCAGAAAGTATGGAGAAATGGACTAACACATTGTTGGTTTTGGTCTTTGTTGGGATTTGTTTACAATAACAATAATATAGGATAACACTAGCCCTTTCAATTATGTTCCTTTTTACAATAAAGCACCCTCTCTATTCAATAAGAGTCATGATCTCAAGTTCAACCCGATTGAAGGCCCAATATAAACCATTCTGATAGTCCCAGAGTAAATAAATAGATTAAATCTCAAACAGGACGTGGGTTTGCTGGTCTTTAACTTCTTAACATTTATATCTGCAGAACACATTTGAACCACATGAGGGAGCCTGAATTGTAGCCCACTTATGACATTGCATCTATTATGAAAGGCTAGTTTACATTCTGTTAAGTCCGCCGAAATGTATTTGTTTGGTCTCATTTACAAAGTATTTTAGTACATGTTTTCAATAACACATGCATTAAACGAAGTTGGCTAATCAAATGTATACCTCTTTGACATGGTTTAACTATTTTGTACCTCTTCAAGATAATATAATGTGGTGTAGAAATGGCCAGGAGCGTTCAATTATGCAAAAAAATAAATCTCTGATCACGTTTCATAGTTAAGGCCTGTTGTGGATTGGGTCACAATTATGTGCCATTTTAAAAGGTGAAAAAAGGTGAAAAAAGGTGAAAAAAAGTTTAGAACGCTTAGAACATTGCTCTATCTTTCTTAGTACCAAAGGGCATATGGAGGGAACTCTGTTTTTAAGGTTCTGTATTTGATGAAAAGAGCAACCAGCCAAAAAGTCTTTATAACGATGAATATTGACACTGTTTATCTGTTCTCTTTGCTTTCCAATTTCGAAATGATGGATGGTACCAACAAAAAGCTGAAGATGAAAAACATTTGTACATGCGATAAACCAATAAATTAATAAGATTCCGTCTATTCCAGGATCAGTATCTCTTGTATAAAAAAAGTATTGTAACAATATTCACTTTTATATAATAAGAGTTATATCATGATGGGAGCTCATGTGGGACAAAAAGGTTGGGTATCCCTGTGAGTATCTTCAAGCCCCACAACAAGACAAATGGATACATATCAGTGAAACACATTTGTGTTCTCACAAATTAAAAGCCTTTGGATAAACTACTGGATTTTTATAATCGTCTAACAAGATCCACATCTCAGCCATGAAAAGATTATTTCTATCCTCTGTCTGCTTGTGTCGGTACTCTTTTTTTCGGGATAAGATCATTTACACCTGCAGGTTTATCAGATGTTAATCTGCGGTTTTGTAACTCCTCTCCCTTTGTTGTTTGTCATTCTGACTGACAATTTGCAATGGTGCCAGTCGAGCTCGTCCCTGAGAAATTAAATTAAGTTTCTCTTTGACAATTAGAAGATTATAGTCAACGGCAAGATTATGTTTATTTTTCCTTAGGACAGATGGAAACACATGAGATAATATCACAATATAAAATAAATTTCATTGGAAATATAAAGATGGATTGATGTTTAGCGGCCTGCTTTTAATTCCAATAAAGGAAATATGTTTGGCATGGAAATTAAATCCCGGCTCAGTTTTGTATAATGTGCAGAATTTGACACTTTGAATGGAACCACCAGAGGGCCACATGTGGAGTCATTACTCCGAGGAAACATCTGGCCTCCCTCTTGTGCCTTCTGAGCTGATAGCAGTTCGACCAAACACACTGGCTCAGTTCAGCAGGAACAGGAGTCTAGTCTGCTGCAGCCATTGTATCAGTGAAGGAGAGATTGACATTAGATAAGAGAGGAATCTCTTCTTGTTCACAAGTTCCACATTTTTTTCTATGTTCGGGATTATTTAAGGATAGTTTATGCTCAATGATTATTAGATACTGTCCACACAATACATTATTCTATATTAATACATATATGTCATAAGATTGTCTGCCTGCATTCTGTACCTGCAAATGATGGTATTGAAAAGTGTCTAGCTGTAGGTTGTCCTCAGTGTATTCAGTATCATGAATGTACAATGCTCTGGTTATGGGAAAATACAACAGCACACTATTATTTACACCTATTCTGGTAATAGATGTACTACAGTAAGAATGTTCTGTTGTCATTTGTTAGCGGTGTTCATGCCGTCATGACAGCATACTGAGCTCTGGCAAAGACTTTGAAAATAGACCTAACCAACCATTAACACTCTGATGAACAACCAAAAATCGAATTACTATGATAAATTATTAAATTATAACAATGTATCAATTTATTGGATTTAAATAAAAAATAAAAGAATAATAATACATAGATACATTAACATTTTAGTTAGTATAAATGTGCTTCCATTAGTGGTTCATATAATTAGATTGAGTAGAATGGTCAAAGTAAATATTGAAGTAGCCAGACATGGTTTGATTCCAAAAATTATTCCCAAACTGCTTTTTAAATGATTCGAACTCGACTTTTTTTTTTTTTTAATAACACTTTACATTTAATCACATTTTAGGGTACAACACCCAAAAGTAGAACAAGCTAAGATGTAACTGTTGAATAGATGCTGTAGCGCTTCATCTCTCCTAGGGGGCAGAAGTCTTCCTCGACTCATCACACGAAGAAGAAATGAGCGGAACAGCAACATGAGCGGAACAACTTGCCCATTGCAGAAAAGAAAGATTTGCTTTATTGAAAACTAAACTACAACATCAAATCAGTTACAAACATGTTCAGCCTGGAGACTTTTGAGAGCCAGATATCTGCTCTGATGGAGACTGAGGTGCACGCGGCGGTGACGGAGCTCAGCAGACTTCTGGATCAGTGCCCGGCCTCGGCCAACGTTGTTATGGCCGCTCAGCAGCGCGCGGCTCCGGCTACAGTATCGGATGTGAAGAGGGAAGAAAATGAGAGCGAAGTGAGCGAGGAGAGTCACCCGTTTAATAAAGCCATAACGGTAACACTTACGTTATGAAAACTCGCTGGTTTTAACCTATGTTGTGACATTTCGTTATGAACAAATGCTAAGAATTAGAAATTGTGTTTTTTGATAAGTAACGGCACTAAACCGTCTCTCATGTAACGTTAAGGTTGTGTGCGACTGAAAGTCTCTCAGTAGCTTCAAACATGGATGTGTTGCAGCTATTCTGAGGTATTCGGTGTCGCCCAAAGCAACTCGTGGCTCACAACAGCGTCATAACCAATTTGTATAACTTATAACACTCATGTGAAAGTTTATAAAGTGCAACAACAAACCTTTGCTCAAAGTAACTTTCTCAGATTTCACTTAAAAACATGTGATTAAGTTTTCACATTTTATTGGAGTCAAGGGTCTAGCAGTTATGATTTTTTTCTTCAAATAAGCAGTTATTATTTTATTTATATTATATCAGTCATCAACGTAGAGAAGCAGCATATTCTCACTAAACCCTAACCCAAAGATATGGCATTTCTTTCCTCGATACATTTGCTAAATGATTATTCATTTGTTGTATCGTGCAGATACATTTTGTGAAAGCACCATCACCTATACTTAACATCTCACTGCTCCTCCTTCTTTCCCGCCCGTGACTTCACAGGACCAGTTTGCATCCCTCATGGAAACGTGGACCAAAGGCGCGGTGCAGAAAATACTGACGGTGTTGAAAGTGTCCATGTGTGAAGCGGAGGACGGTCCCGCTGCAGAGCGGAGGGCCGGGCCGATCGGCGAGACGAAACAGGCGAGCACCAAGCCGAAAGCGGGGCGAGTGGCCGGGCCCAAGAGTGGTAAGTCGGTTAAAGGCTTGAGTGACTGTGGAGAGGCTTTTCACGTTCACTTACTGGCATTATTTTGGATATTAAACAAGGTTATATGTTGTTGAATTACAGAATCTGCATCCACAAGCTCTCGTCAGAAGAGAAAGAAAGCCGAGGAAGGATCCAAACCAGCGCCAAAAAAGCAGAATGACCACATATATCACAGAGGTATCGGTACCAGCTTCAGTTATGGTCAAACTTTGAATTACATAATATTGAACACAAGTATTGCTCCATGTTTTGATCTCTAGTGCTCAGTACAGTGAAAGGAGTCATGTGCCAGCCGTGCATGTTTCAAGTTCGAATCATTTGTACATAGTTTGGGTTGTGTTTGCTACAGTTGGATAAGCAATGACCGTAACATGTTTTAAATCCATTTTTACCTCTACTTCCTCCGTTAGTGCCAGTCACTTCCCAAAGCATACAGCCACATTTGAGCTTTTGCAATATTTTGCCTTTAGTTTACATTTTCAAAATGAAATGTTCAGGTGATACAACCACCTAAAAATGAATTGCTTTACCTGCCAAAACACATCTGCAATTATAATGGCCGGCTGGAGCAGGATAGATGTCCCGGCTACTACTAGTAGTTCTGATTGGGCAAACTCTGCTCCCTTATTGAGAGATACACTAAAGTTAATTTCAGGGTTTTTTTTCTTTTCAGAAGAGCAACATACTGAAGAACCAACAGCAGCAGCGGCTGATTCAGAATCAGTGATCACACCTGGTAACTACTGCTTCTTTACAAACCAGCAGAACAAAGACTTCCGTCTGAAACTTTTTTTGTTCATGAGCAAAACATTGTTTTAATCATATATTAACTTGTTGAATTTGAGCGGCTGTGTTTGTCTGTGTTAGCTGTGTGCCTCCCACTTTGTTTCGAGTCCCCTAATGGAGCTTTTTGTTTGTTTCAGCTGATGCAGCCACACGTGAGAGTAACTCTGGCTCCCCGTCTGTGCCCGACGCCTCAGAGCCGGCCTCCGATGTAAGCGAGGAAGACGGCGTCCAGGAGGATACAGGCACCTCGACTGGCACAGCCAAAATTAAAAAGAAGAAGAGCACGGGGCCATTGAAGTGTCCCTCTTGTGACAAAACGTTTGCTCTGAAGTGTATGCTGGACAGACACTACCTGACTCACACCAAACCGCACCTCTGCTCCGAGTGCGGCAAATGTTTCTCCGAGAAACAGGGGCTCATGGCGCATTCCAGACGCCACACCGGAGAGAAACCTTACGAGTGCTCCGACTGTGGGATCGAGTTTGCTTACAAATACACCTTGGCTAGACACATGCGTCGGCACAGCCTGAAGAAACCGAGCACCCGCACGTGCGCGCTGTGCGAGAGCCAGTTCGACGGCGCGTTGGAGCTCCAGCGGCACAGGTGTGGTGCCCTGAAAAAGACGTTTGTCTGCTCGCTCTGCCCCGAGGCCTTCGAGTGCAGGAAGAGCTTGGCCGATCACGAGAATCTACATTCGGGCGACAGAGATTTCGTCTGCGAAATGTGCGGCGAGAGCTTCTTCTCGTCCTCGTCCCTGACCACCCACCGGGTGACTCACGGGCAAAAGGAAAACTGCTGCGACGTGCTCGGCCTCGGATCCAGCGATGCGAGCGTCCTCGAAAATCACCTGAGCAGACACACGGGAGAAAAGCTGTTCTCCTGCGAGGTTTGTGGTAAAGGCTGCAGCCACCGGAGCGCCCTGAAGCACCACATGCTGACGCACACGGGGGAGAAGCCGTACGTCTGCGAGACCTGCGGCAAACGCTGCGGCCACGCCAGCGCGCTCCAGAACCACATGAGGATCCACACGGGGAAGAAGCGGGGCCAGCAGCCGGTCTGCAACGTGTGTGGCAAGAAGTTCCGCTGCACGGTCAACCTCAAGTATCACATGAGCATCCACACGGGGGTGAAGCCGTACGCCTGCGAGCAGTGTGACAAAAAGTTCAGCAACCCCAGCAATCTGAAGATACACATGGCGATTCACTCAGGGGAGAAGAGGTACGGCTGCAACATCTGCGGCCGGAGGTTCACCCAGTCCATCGGCCTCAAGCTGCACCGGCGCGTCCACACGGGAGAAAAGCCGTATTTCTGCGCGGTCTGCGGGAAAGGATTCATGCACTGCAGCGACTTCAAGAAACATCAGAGGGGTCACCTGCCGGTTGAGCCGGGAGATGAGCAGTCTGACAATACTGCTGTGAAAAACTGAAACGTTTGATTGCCGTATGGTCACTTCTTGTACTTATATGTTGACATACTCTACACTGGAAACAGGGCTGGGCAATGTGACAATATATACTGTGAGATTTGTCAACCCTCATACAGAGTTTTCAATCCTCTGTTTGTATTAGAACATTGCAGACTTCATTGCAAGTATAACATTCTCAACATTGACCAAAAACAATAAAACCTTTAAACACTCAGCAGGGCTTGAGAGTCATTGGCAACAATTTGGAGAAATTGGCGACCAATTCTTGCCACTTTTTAAATTTAAGAAGTGGACAAAAACAAGACTCTAAATGAAATAAGCACCTTTGTTTAAGCCACAGAAACCATTCGAATATCAAAATGTTCAGCTCTTTCAGGAGAGGTGTGATATGACTTTTCATATTCGTAATCTTTAAACTTTTTGAATTATTAAGGTTTTTGCAATTTGTTTTGAATTGGACATCTATTTTCAGCAATGTTTTTGCAATTAATTTCAGCTTTCAGCATTCCAACGCATTTTCAGCAGGAAATGCATTTTCTAGTTTTAAATGTCCTGCAGTGAGCCGTAGGAGAATCGTATGAATCGGGCCTTTAGTTACTTAAATACTTTTACAGCCTATATTCTATAAGTAGGGGAAGCATTGTTAAATACATTTCAACTTTGAAGAAGGTGTATTTCCTACTTCAGCACTGAAGAGGGGCTGAGTTGAGCTACCATGTTACTTTTGGCTGCTTAAAAATACGGACTGCCTCAATGAGGAGCAATGTGTGAAGCCAGAAAGCTCACAGTGACACTGTGGGCCTTTTTGCTATAAATTGGTAAATTAGCAGTATGTAGACAGTAGATTTATGTCATTTGAAAGACTGCCTGTGGGGATTCTCCACAAAGTACATCAGAGGAAAAGAAAAATAGACTCTGACTCTTTAAATACAAAGATGTGTTGGAATCATCGTGGGTTGTTACATGTGAGTGTTGGAAGTGTGGACTGTGCTTCTACGCTGTGTCTCTGTGCTCACAGACAGTGGAAGCAGCTCCCCACTGCCCAAGTTCGCCTCCTCTCCCAAACCTAACAACAGTTACATGTTCAAGCGGGAGCCGCCAGAGGGCTGTGAGAAGATTAAAGCTTTTGAGGAGATGAGGTACAGACAAACTGAAACACCTCCCTGCTGCCTCAGGAATGTGTGACCCCCCCCACCTGACTTAACTTCCTGTGTTCCTCCGCAGCTCCAGGCAGTCCACATCAGCTTCGATCCCCCTCTTCTCCTGCCCCGACAAAAACAAGGTCAACTTCATCCCAACGGGCTCGGCGTTCTGCCCCGTCAAACTCCCCGGCTCCCTGCACCTCATGCCGGCCTCGGAGCCCGAGGAGGAGGATGAGGCAATCGCCGGCTCGGACCCCACTCAGGTCTCCACTAGCACCAGCACAGACGACGCCCCGGAGGAGCCCGGATCGCCCTCAGAGACTGCAGACCCCCAGACAGACAGCCCGGCTATCAGCTAGACCGGAGCGGAGCTGGCCTCTGCCCTCCGGGATCCACCCACCACGACCATCATCCGTCACCACTGACTGTCCCACCCACCAACACCTCCCCCTCCGTCTCTCTGTGCTGACCCCCCTCCACATCTGCATGACGTAGCAACAATGTCCCGAATAAACAACCACCGCCACCCCGAAGACCCGCCACCTTACTGCATCGTGTCTGAGCTGTGAAAGGAGCTGATGGTCAAAGGTGATGGTCTGCAGGCATCGGAGGGAAGAAATGTAGCACGATGGATTGGGGGGGGGGGGCATGCATTTTAAACTGGTAGTATATTTCTTAATTAAATGATGTGTTGTGTTGTGTTCTGTTTCAACATTCACAGTATGAATAAGCTCTCTAAACATATACTATATACACATATATCTCCAAGAAAAATGCTTGTTTAAAAAAAATAAAAATAATAATAATCCCAAATGGTGTATTGCTGTGTTTATGTACCCAACAGGAAAAAAAACAGCTGTACTATTCAGGATTATGTTTACACTATCCAGGTCACCCTGTCTAAAAAAATGCAATGAGAAAATAATTTGGGCAAAGAAAAGAAAATGGCCTCACATTGGTTGCACAGTGTCTGCATCCGGCCACGCTTCAGGTATTTCACAATCAGAGTCTATACTCAGGTAATTTGGAATGTATGTCCATACCAATATCTGCAGCCTGACGAAGCAGAACAGATTGACCGCCATTTAATTCTGTTTTTCTTCTTCTCTCAATCCCAGACAAATCATTGCTCTCTGGTCCAGAGTCTAGTCTGACACTCGACTCGTGATAGCTGACTGCAGCAGGTAGAGGCTGAAGTAGTGACTGGTGGTGAGATACTGTACGGACCACACACACACTGTGACTGATGGTGTGTGTGTGTGTGTGTGTGTGTGTGTGTGTTGACAGAGACTTGGATGACATACAGCAGTTGATAATTAAGCCTGCGGACTGTGTGATTGGCTCTCCTGAACCTGTTAACCAGAAGTGGACGAATCCGTCGTACCGTCACACGAAGATACAATCAAACTGAAGCAGTTGGTTCTTTAGAGGTGCAGATTGGAGGTTTAGTTGTACGAATGTTTATTCGATGAGTTAAACCTCAGTTTTCTTAGCCAAAGAAGCCGTTTTATTGTGCAACTCAACCCGACTTAATCCAGACTAGAGCCGGAGCGATACTGGTTTCCTGAGGCTGAAATCAGGATATGAGTTTAAAAAGCAGCAACAATACATATTGACCAACATTTGTTTTTTAACATATTTATTGATGAGAATCTGTTGAAGTTGGATTATTAAAGAATTCTGACCAAGATAAGTACTGAGCAGGATGTTTCCCATCTGAAACATCTCTCTAATGGTCTATCAGCAAACCCTTGTTCCGATGCAATTAAATATCAGCTGATGGAATTTGAGCGGAAGCTGCATGAGGGCTGTTACTATAAAAATAGAACAAACGACCGGTTATTGAGGCCAAAATACATCGGACGTAATCAGATTCCCCGTGAGTGTATCTAACTTACTGGACAACAGCCATTTTTGGCACAAGTAACAGTAAATGCGTAAATATAAAGTAACACAAGCAGCACAAGTAGAGAGAGTCGTACAATCGGCAGACTGACTCTATAGTAGCCAGCATGAGCTACGGGTCACACCAGACGAAGCAGGGCTGTAGCAGTAACATCTCTTAGGGTATTAAATTGACTAAGAGTGTCTTAATGTATTAAAATTTGCGATTGTAAGAGGAAGAATGGGAATGAACGAGAACCTAGATGCACTTCAACCACAGCCCGCTTATCTTAATCTCACAATGTGCACTGCCTCCACACACACACTGGAAGGGACATTTTTCGTACTAAAATGTGTGACAGCAGGACTGTGCGTTTGGAATTATTTAAGAAATCTAAGTTTGAGTACCAGTAACAAAACTATGCTTTATTGAGCACCTTACTTTGATTATCTTTTTTTTTTTTTTTTTTTGACAAAAGAAGCTGAAGTTCTCAAATGGTAAAATTAAAAAATACAACCTAACCTTAACTGGCAAAATAATGATTTAAAGCTGCACTAATCAATATTTTTTATATCCAAAATGGATGAAATGAAATGAGACGAAAGGGGTCACTTTCACCCAACTCTGCAGCGCTCCTCAGAGCTATGGAGCTTTTTTCAGCCCCTTTTAGATCATTGTTTCGGTTTCACCCGCCAACCAAACCGTACACAGACTAAATCAGTGTCTAGCTGGCAAAGAAAGTGGATCATTTAGCAGCTAAAAGGTCCGATATCTTCTCAGGAGTTGGTGGTGACCAAACCAGAGCGTAAAGGGAGAGTGAGTAGTGGACTTACATTCTTTAGGTAATTTTCGTAGGCGGAAATTTCATACAGATACCTTTTTTACAATAAAGCCACTTTTACTGAAGGTAATATATATATAATATATATATATATATTTATATATATGGTTCAGGCCATCACATTGATTAAGAAACTTTGTATCAAGACAATAAAGGCGCTGCAGTAAAGCGACATGGGTTTGATCATTATTTGAAGAAATAATCAAAATGTCAGGGAGAAGAAGTAAAAGACACATTGCATGAAACAGTGAGAATAATAAACAAATAAAAGAAGTGTAAATACATCAATGAATAGATACATTGCGTATTATTTACATCGAGGTCAGAAGCCAAACATGTCTTGTAAGGATACCCCCACTATTAGACTTTGAATTGAATCAAAACGGTTAAATGTAAAGATATTAAAAAGGTGTGTCACCGTTACTCGTACAGTCACACTTACAGCTCTGGGAGGCTGAACTTAAGAAACAGTGAGCTTATGTTTCACAGCTTTAATGTTTACCATGTTCACCATGTGAGGAGAAGTCTGTAGAATTCATCCTCTGAGGACCATGAATGTACAAAGCATTGTGCCAATCCTCCCAATAGTTGTGGATACATTTCAGGCTGTGGAGAGATCGACCCACAGAACAAAACTAAATGAAACAAAGCGATAATATGTTTGACTTTCGTTAACCACATGTTTCCATTCCACTAAAAGAAGGAATTTAACTTAAAAGAACCAAAATTCAGCAAAACACTAAAGACATTGAATTGTTGAAAAGACACCAAATAAAATGAAGACCAAAAATGCCCATTGAGGAAATACGAGTTTTAAGAAGTTACAAATGTCAAAAGGTATTATGATAGAAATATCAGACATAGCGTCCTCACGGCATCGATAAAAAGACCAGTATTTCCTACAAGCAGGAAAACACTCTTGAAGCTCACACACAAATATTTAAAGAAAATCTTAATTCAAAAGAAGAATGACTGCAAGTCTTAAGTGTAAAACCATGCTGGTGTCCGCTGCAGTTTGCCCTGTTCATGAGGAATCATAGGAAGGTGTTGGCCAGAAGAACAACGCACTGATGATTTAACTGTTCTTTTAGTGAGTGATGTCGGACATGACGAGGCAAAGGAAAAAGGAGGTTGACGTGAACACGCAGGGGTTTGCTCATTAAACAAAAATCAATGAGTTTAAAGTTTTAAAGTCCTTTGTAATTCTTTCTGTAGCGTTAAGTAGCAGGAGGCAGTTCAGTTATCAAAAGCTTAACGTATGTTAAAGCCAGGTGTGAACAGGGTCCTAGTCAGTTCCAGATCAGATGTGATATACTTAGTACAGCACAAGTACACTATGTGTATTCTGTAATGATACACAGGTAGATTGCACAATGTTTTGAGGAAGAACATGCTTTAAACATGCTATATTCATTTTATCTTAAGACTCTGCACCAGTTGTTCCACATGAGGTTTCAAAGGAAGACTGCTGTCTAACTAAATTCCGAGATATTTATAAGATTGAACAATGTCAAAGTCAGGGATATAGCTGTATGTAAATGCACAACAGTGTTCTTGAGGATTAAACACATTCAGTAGACTGTAATCTAGACATGGGTTGAGTTGGATACAGGAGTGTTTGTCCTCTGTATAAAAACATGATATTGGTCGGAGTTGGAGTGATGATATTGTTCATGTAGATCAGGGGTCACCAACCTTTTTGAAACTGAGAGCTACTTCAAGGGTACTGAGTAGTACGAAGGGCTACTTGTTTGATACAAACTTCCTGAATAACAAAGTTGCACAGATCACCTTTTAATAATAATAATAATAATAATATATGTGAAGAGACTGTCTGATCACATGTCAATGTTAATTATTCCTCACAATAATTATTAACAATGATTTCCACAACATGATGGTGGGAAACAGATATATTTAAACATTTATTTCTGTTCTTCTGTTTCAACATTTGAAAGTCAGAGGTATCACATCTCTGATATTTTAGTAAATATCTTTGACAGTTTTGTATGAATAAGCACATTTGTAGCATTTAGTTCAAAATCACACCTGTTATATTTTTGTAAAAATGATCACTTCTAACATTTTTTATGAAATCATTAACTGTCATATCTTCAAATCATGTCTCGTTTGTACTAACCACTTTTGTAACAGTTTTGAACAAATCAACTCTGTCCCGTGTTTATACAAATCATCAGTTATGAATATCCTGTGTTGTTTGGCTTTGGAGCGGATGACATTTATGATATTCAGACATGAGTCATCACATGATCAAAGCCGGTTACTTTTGCACATAGCGCCTGCTGGTGAATGATGCAGTGGTAATGTAGACATTTTGGGAAGTCTGGGTCACCTTTACATTGCGCAATGAAGCCTGCATGCCGGCCCGTCATGGCGGGAGCCCCGTCTGTTGTCACCGACACCATTTCTAATGGTACCTTTTTCTCCACGAAGAAACTAGTAAAAAGTCTCGTCTATAGCCGAGGGGGGGTCCAACCCTCCGAGGTGCGCGAGTATCTTCGGGCGCCCGCGTTCAAACCTCTAGTCTGGCGCTTTTCGGTCGGATTGCGTTGCTTCGCCTCTACCCCCGTCACCCAAGAGTTGTTGCCCGACTGTTCCGAGAACTGACGGACCTGACGACGGGGTGCGCTCGCCGTGCGCCTCTGGGTACCCGACTCTCTTATGATAATTTTAAAATCTACAATAATGCAAGCGTTTTTGATTAAAAATGAACAGCAACTAAAATATTTAGACGGAGCTCCATGGTGACTTATGCTATTTTTAGAACATGCCTTGCGGGCGACTCACATGGTCCCTGCGGGCGACCAGGTGCCCGCGGGCACCATGTTGGCTACCTCTGCTCTACGCTATCAACAAAAATGACCACAGCATTGTTCATCCGCGCTGCGGATGAACAATGCTGTGGCCGACAAGCTTCCCCACAGAGACAGACAGACAGACAGACACGGAGAGGGAGAGATTTTTAGAAAACCTTTATTTTCTTTGAACATGTTTCTTTATCATTTTAAACGGTTAAACAAATAAAGTCCAACAAACAAATGTGTCTTTGATTGTCTTTAGACTGTGAGATGTTATTCTCACTTAGCACCATCTTTGTCCAGTTCTTTGTTCACTTTGTGAACTATTTTCTTTAGTCTGAAGCCTTCCTACTTCTTGAGACCTCCTCTGTCCTTGCTTCTCATGTGAGACCTGGCAGAGCTGGAGAGCTTCTCCTTGTCAGAGAGGTAGTCCTCCACTTTGGCTCCTCTCACATTCTTACTCCTCTTCAGAAACTCCTTGATCTTCTCCACGCTGTAGTCTCCAGAGCTCCTACAGCTGCCAGCACCTTGTTTAGAGGGCTCACTGTCAGCAGCAGCGCCCTCCTCCTGACTGGACTGAGTCCTCTTCCATACTGGACTCAGGGTCCTCCTCCAGACTGACTCACTCTGTTGCTCTTCCACTTTCTTTCGTTGCAGTTTTCTTTGCCTGT